TCAAGGTCTCCAGCTTGTGCGAAGCCTAGGACCTAGGATCTTCTTGGTCGGTCAAGCGTAAGAAAAATCCAGATCTCCCTCGAAGTTTGCACTTCGCAAGGTTCTCGACTGGATGTTCATGCAAACTCCGTGAGGTTAAAGGCCAAGCCCGAACTTCATAGCTCTACTGGCCTGCTCTGCTGGCCTCGTTCTCCAACGTTCGGCTTCTCTGCTGTGTCAAAACGAAGGGCCCCCTCTTTGAATCTAAACTGGCCGCCTCGCAAAAACCAACAGCATTACACGCATCCAATGTTGCCAGCGCTGCCGCGTTAAACGCCTCGGAGGTCAACTTGCAGGTCGCGCTGATGCCCTGAAGGCGACGCAGATGTCAAGCTTCGGGGATCAATGCTAGCACGATCACGTGGCTCATCCTTGTTGTGACTCGTGTTACTACTATGATCACGATTTTTGATTCCTGCAGCAGCACTTGTGGTGGTATCCCTGCAGTCTCTGGCGCTTGTCATAACCTGTCTTCTTGTTGCCGTCCTCATGCTGGGGACGATTCCGGGATATGTCCTGATGCGGTCTGAACTACAGTGGGGCTCACTTGTTCAGAATTCGTCCAACAACAAACCCCAAACTCTCGAGCCCCTGACCCTCAAGCCTCCAAGAGTCAAAGACTTCGGAATTTTCTTCCTCACCCCGCCCCCCTGATCCCTGCCATCTCAGACCCTTGTCACCCAATCCCTAATGTAGGGGCCTAAATCCTTTGCAACACTAACTATTTTAGTGCTCCTTTTCAGTTTTAGTAAAATGGGCCAAAACCCTGTTCCAATTATTAGGGCCCCTATATTAAATCGATGCCTGCACACTGGCAAGCCGCTGCTCGGCATCGGGATGCCCGCGCGCCCCAGCCTGCAGCTGCTCGGGAGGTTAGGCCCGAAGAAGGCTTGGTTTAGGGTTTGCGGTTCGGGTTTAGGGTTTATAGGGGTTTAGGGTCAAGCGGTCGGGGTCTAAGGTTGTACTTTGGTGAATTGGGATCTGGAGAACGGCAGTAGGCACAAACCGTCCAACCCATCCGAAGCCAGACAGGCCACATTGTCTTTGAAAGTGCTTTGAGATCACTGAACCCCTCCCTCTCCGGAGGCCTCAAGATACCACCTCCGGCAGCAGCGAGCCACGGCCCCTGAGTCCTCTGGCTTTTCTACAACTTCAGTCTGAAGCTGGGCCAGCAGACTGTCAGGTTCACACAGCCCTGTCCTCTTCCCTGGCAGCACAACTGCCTTCCAGCTGCAATCGCTCAACCTTCAGAACGGCTTCTGTAGAGTTACAGAACCTTCGCTTGATGTGGAACTAAGATATGAGTTCTGGGCGATGGACTTGGGAGACTCACGTCGGCGTTGGTCTTCAAACCAACTTTGCGCACATGGGCTTCTGTGAGCAATGTAAAACTGTAGGCCACCACATTCACCCGAGGAACCTTGAGTCGTCCTACATTCATGGAGGCGGCGAATGTGAGATCGGGTGAGATCTTTGCAAGCTCTCCCGAAAGACAATGCTGGCTCCAGTGAGCTCACTGCAAGACCTGTGGCCTTGCTGGCCCTGCGGCTACGAGTTAAAACACCCTGAACCCCAAAAGCACGAACCGTATGAGCGCTGAAGCCGAAGCCCGAAACTTTTAGCACTTCGTGCCGTAGGCACGTCCCCGAGCCACAGCGGCGCCCAGGTGCTGCCGGCGCTTGTGGCGGCACCTGAGGCAGCAGGTTCTAACCAGGCTTTGCCTTTCGGGTCTGGGGGCCGGGGCAGTCCAATCACACCGTCGAAGTTTAGGCCTTGGGTTTCGGCAGTGCTCGAGGTGTGACTACTTCGAGCATCTGGAGCAAGCTCAACCGGCGACATCATCTCCGAAGTTATGGGGCGTGAAGCTCTTGCTGAAGAGCCAACGCCTGTCTTCGGATTTTGGGCAGGCTTCGGGCTTCTACTGCTGCGGAATTCCCGAGTTCCAGGGCCTATGCTCAGGCTCCGACGCAACGCGCGGAACATGCGGGTTGCATCCAAGGTACCTGCTTCGAAGGCAACTTGCAGAGCAGGCACTAGAGGGCCCATTATTGGGGGCGTACAAGGGTTTTGTGGGCCCCGTCTGATCCGAAATGGTGATTCTGGTTGCCGGGGCCCTCCGAGCGGCCCCTCCATCTTCGCCCCCCCCAACCGAAACATGACTCGAATCTGGGCAACAAGCATCCACAAGCTTTCATGCAGTCAGGAGGATTGTTGTTCTTTGGAGCTTACCTGCAGATGGACATCGATATTCGAAACACATCCCCTTCCAGGTCCACCATACAACCCGGAAATGTCAGGAGTCTTCGAACATCGGTCCTCCATTTATCGGCCGAAGCCCGAAGTCCCAAGGTAGAAGAACCAAGCCGAACAGGATCCTTCACAGTCCCACCTGTCATTCCACCAGCGAGCAAGGCGTCGGCAAGGTGTGCCTTCGCAGGGGCCGGCGTCAGTGCAGAGGCTCGGCAGAAGGTTTTTGCATGCGGTCTTCTAAGGCACGTCGGTTCTGGGTTGTTGTGCGATGAGTCGGGGGAAGACCATCTAGGGTGTCCGGATTGTGGGTTGGCCTGCATGCAGACATGAAATGTGCTTCAACGACGACAGGGAACCCACACGGGTTTTCATGCTCCTCCTGTCGGATTCTTGGACAAACAGGATTTAATAGGGGCAACAAGGATCTCCGACTACGTAGCCAGAGAATCAACTAACAGCATAAGGAGGGGCACGAGGAGCAGGATGAGGCGGAGGAGGGGTCCTAGCAACCGGCCTCCTTGTCACTGCGGGAGAAGGTGAGCCTGATCTCTTCGTCGCTTGCAACGACCTGGAAAGTCCCGTCGGTCGGTTGCGGTTGCCCCACCTGCCGGCCTCCGGACCTGCGAACTGAGCCTAACCACCTCCTAAAGCGATTCCCAAATCCACCAGACCTCAATAGAAGTAGTGCGGCTTCAGGGGAAACCCCGCCTGGGAGAATCGAAGAATCTCCAAGATCATGTTGGCCTTCGCATGCAGACTTGCGCGCTTCCGGTGTGAGGTTTTCGGACAGGAAGGATGTTGAGGTCTCGCTTTGCCGGGCCTAGTCCGTGCCGATCCCATGGAAGCAGTAACCCCCAAGTCCTCTCCAACACCAACACGGACTCTTCAGGAGCCAGTGCAGAGAACAGCCTGCTCGAAGACAACACGTCCGCCTTCACTCCCAGAGTACTGCAACTGTGCTGTCCTCGAGATCAGCCCTAAACAACCTCCATGAACACATTACACGGAAAGACTTTGCTCACAATCCGCTTGTGGCCAAAAGGACAAAACAGCTGGCACCTCAGCACCCACCACTGCTTCGCTGGGCTGCGCGGGCTGCGCCTGGAGGCTTAGGGCCTTCAGGCTTCGTTCTCAACGGTCTGAGCATCACGCAAACATGCAGACTGACGAGGAGTTGATTTGCTCGTTCTCCTGTCCGGAGAGATCCTAGGTTGCTGCAGGCAGGGCTTCTCACGTCAGAAAGGTTGGCATTGGGCTTTGGGGCTAAAGTCAAACTCCCCGAAGACCCGCTGCCATAGGGCCTCGAAGCGCGCCCAGGGGCGGAGGGCTGCCTCGAGGACTTTGCCGTCCATCGGCATCCTCCGGAATAAGGTTCAGGGTTTAGGGTTAACTACGTCTAGTAACGCAGATAGGAAAGGGGGGCGGCACTAGAATCATAGCCGGAATTCGGACGGTCTCAGTCTTGGACAGCCCTTCGGCCAGAAATCTAAAGAGCTCAAGCTGGTTCTCCAGGCCTCACACTTAAGGATTCCAACACGTTCTCCACTTTGCCCGGTTCAAAACCAAGGCCTGGAGGCCTGGCTTTGTGATTTTGCGTTCTGTCGACCCGGGTCCTGGCCAACATGGCGCCGTCCCTCCGCCTCGCATGACAGGGGCGTGACAGTAGTTGAGGTTTGAGCCTGGGGCATGTACACCTTCGGGGTGGAACAACCTCCCCACGCGACTCGCGACACCTTGAACTCCCTCCCCTGAAGAGCCTACGAGTTTCTTATCCTGGCGACCTGGGCGACTACAGCTCTTTGGCTTAAACGTCGCAAAAAACATCTTCGAGCCCGTGCCATTGCCACATTGGAGCCACTAGAAAGACCCCAACCCTGCCTTTCAATATCATCCCGACACATCAGGGTGTCGGTTTCGCTCTTACTTTGAATCCCTGCTACTAGCCCCACCATAAACCCTAAACCTTCCCTTGTAGTTAATGCACTCCCGGTGAAATTCGGGAGAATCTCCTCGCCTGGTCCGCGCGCCAAGCTTTGTCCCCTCCGAGCCCCATGGCCATGCGGCAGCAGTATCGTTCAGGCGCGCTGTGCCAATCAAACGCAAGCTAAGAGCGGTCTCCAGTCCCTGCATGCAGTCCTTTCTCTTTGCATATATACATACTCTTTGTATATATACATGCATATATATGTACACACATGCCAAAGCATATCAAGTGCAAACTTGCATAGACTAGCGTGGACTGGTATGCACGCATGCATGTCTGCATGCAAGCAAACCAACAAACGAGCGAACAAACAAGGAAACACAAAACATGCGCACGTACCTGCATACAGACACACACACACAAACACACACATTGAGTGCCTGTGTGTGTGCGCGCGGATCTATATGTATGCCTGTATGCATGTATGTAAGTATGTGTGTATATATATATATATATATATATATATATATATATACATACATACATATATATATATATATATATATATATATACATGCACGAATGCATGTATGTGTATGTGTACAGACACGCACAATATGGATAGGAATCATGATGTGGTTGACATGTCGGGGCAGAAGTTTTGGCATTGCATTACGGGACGTTGGCATGGCAAGACTAGTAAGGAGTGGGAGGGGCGACCAGGCAAAATTGTGAGGGGCAGGCAGACAAGTCGCTGCAATGACCCAATGGAATCCATGCACTGGGCTTAGGCAAACAGGCTCGGGACTCGGCTACACTCGGCTACACAAAAGTGCACGTTGGATAGGAAGGGGAAGATTTGGGCACTTGGCTCAAGAGCTACGATACACGAGAAGACGAGAAGCTGCACCTTGGCGATCGCGCGCAACTGCTCCGCACGAGGCAGCCGAAAAGAGATGTACCTCTCACAAGGCAACGTCTCATCAGATGTGATTTCCAGAGTCTCACGGAGTTCCGATGGGTCTGCTCCGGGAGTGATTGTGGACCTTGGAGTATCAGGCCCGCAATGACAGAAACCCAAAATGCGACTTACACAATCGCGAAGAACCAGCTCTGAAACCCGACAACATGGACAAGCTTGCCGAAAACATCCTGCGCTGTCGCGCTGTAGACCGCGAGGGCACCAGGCCAGCAAGTGAAACGGCAAGATCAGCAGCACCTCGCAGGAACAGCGGGCTGCAGCATGGCACATGAGGCTTCTCCAGGTGGGTATCCGCTGCTTCAGGATCGGTGGGAGAAGGACTGTCGGCCTAGGTGCAACCCTCGCGTCTTCAATTCAGCTTCAAAAGAAGCGCGGTAAGTGTAAGGTCTAGTCCCTATTCCACGTAACCCCAAAGAAGGTGTTCCGAATTTACCGAAGATGGGAGATGAGCTCTGAAACCCACCCTGGCCAGCCCACCTCTCCAACCAGCCAGGTGTCACCGGTCAAGACCTCGTCGAGACGTCGGCTTTGTATGCTCAGGGTGCAGCGTTTATGGTTTCATGTAATTGCATTGGCTTAGTTGCCGCTGACAGGCAAAATAGGACGGAAAAGACCGGAACGAAACCCTCAGCCTCCGCACCAGGACCCCGACCGCGAAGACCACCAGGGCCAGCACAACCAGCGGTGCGATGGCACCCTGAAGGGCCCAGGGCTTCGGGGATTGGGGCTTGGGACCTCGCACTTCAGAGCTGATTGGGCACAGGGCTCCGAAGAATTCGGAAACCCCCATGCAAAAGCCTGCATCCTTCACCCCCAACCAAAGCCGCAAGCCCAGGGGCCTCCTGCGTCTGCAGGAAGCTCAGCCTTGCCCTCCAGGTCACCACCTCGAAGGCTCTCTGCTGTGGGGATGTTTTGGGCGTCTGTTTTTGGAGCTCCCGACACCCTGAAGTAGCCTTCCTGAAGCCGTTCGGGGCTCGTAAAGTGTAGGGCCTTAGGGCATGGGTATTTAGGCTTCACGGGTTCAGTGACTCCCTGTGGGACTACGGCGCCCGCGCCTTGACAAGCTCCAGGAACTCGCCGACCACGGCCTCAGGAAACGGTCCAGGATTCTGGGATTTGGGAGCTGACGAAAATAGGGGACCCTAATGTAGTATCCTAAATAGTAGGATCCCTATTATAAGGACCCCTAAATTTTCGGAAACTCCCATTTAGGGCCGCGGAGAACGTAAACCAATAGGCGAAGGCAAGGCCGACATAAGAATTAGCCAGAGCGCATCATGACAACCACCATCACCACCGTCAGGGTCATCATCAGCATTATGCAACTTCAAGCTGAACTCGCAACTGCAGGCCCTGCAATCCCGTGCTGCACGCTACTCCGCCTCGATCTGCTCGACCAGCCTTTCGTTGGCCACTGTAGTGGAGAGCCCGAACCTTAGGAGAGCCCACATGCGCACAGCCTTCAAGCTTTACTTTGGCTTTCGGGTCCGGGTTCAGGCTAGCATTGCAACGACGATGGCACCATTCCAGTCCCCTGCTTGGGCCCTTGCACCTGGTTGCCTGTTTCGCTCTCAAAGCTTGACCCGAATCCACGACATAGGCTACAGATCGCTCTTGAAGGTTTCTGTACTAGTGGTGAGTCGAGAGGATTGATTTGCACTCTTCACAAAAATGCCCCCGCTGCTCTGAGCCATCTGTGACATGGCGATGAAGGTAGGGAAACTCGCGACAAACTGGAACCGTACCCCACTCCAAACCCACTACCTCACACCTTATGAAGCAAGCTTCGAAACCCGAACCAGACCCACACACGTTCGTTTCAAGAATTCACTGGGGCCCTTGCACCGCAGCCTCCTCCTCCGTCTCTGCGCGGGCCGGGCCTGCAGCGCAATTCTGGCATCAAGCAGCGGGGAGCTTCGGTGACCTTGAGCAGTTTGCGTTGCCGACTGTCACGAAGTCCCCTCTGGCTCTCGCCTCGTGCAGCTGGCGGAGGCACCGCCTCCTCGGACAAGGCAGGCAAGGGTGGGATAAATAAGCATAAAACTAATCATAACGCTGATCGAAGCCTTTGGAGATCGTCTCCTGGATGCCTTAAACACTGGACCCGGGGCCAGATGAGCAAGTAAAAGCTCTGCCCCGGCCTGAGGCAGCAAGAGCGGTGTGTTCCACTGGCCTCCCAGCTGGAACAAGTCGTGACAGGCAGTGGGGTTTGCTGTTCCAGGATGGGAACAGGATTTCGGCGTTAGGGCCAAAGGCTAGTTCTTATGCTTCCGGAGTTGTGAAGGCACAGGACTTCTACACTTCGGGCCAAACTCCCGGAAGCCGAAGACTCCTGAAATGTTGCTGCAATAGTTTGTTGAATCCATGCTTGTAGGTTTGTTTATTGCAACGACGTTCAGGGTGTTACTTTTGGCAACATTCGTAGTGTGAATAAGACTGCAAATGTGAGTTTGTGGCTATTGCTGTTATTATTGTCATTGCTAATTGCATCTGTTGTTGTCCTTCTGAAAAGGTGCCATCATGATCATGATATCAACAAAAGTGATTACGACACAAAACGCTACAGTACCCTAAACCCTAAACCATGAAACCGGAAAACCCCAAACTCTAAGACCCTAAACCCTAAAACCCCAAACCCTAAAACCCCAAACCCTAAAACCCTATAAACCCTAAACCCTAGAGCCCCAAACCCCAAAACCCCAAACCCTAAAACCCCAAACCCTAAAAAACCCCAAACCCTAAAAAAACCCAAAACCCTAAAAAACCCCAAACCCGAAAACCCCAAAGCCTAAAACCCCAAAGCCTCAAACCCCAAAGCCTAAAACCCCAAACCCTAAAACCCCAAAGCCTCAAACCCCAAACCCCTAAAACCCCAAACCCTAAAACCCCAAACCCCTAAAACCCCAAACCCTAAAACCCCAAAGCCTAAAAAACCCAAAACCCTAAACCCTAAACCCCCAAAGCCTAAACCCTAAACCCTAAACCCCCAAACCCTAGAACCCCAAAGCCTAAAACCCCAAAGCCTAAAACCCTTAAAGCCTAAAACCCCAAACCCCTAAAACCCAAAGCCCCAAACCCTAAAACCCAAAACCCCAAAACCCCAAACCCTAGAACCCAAAGCCCCAAACCCTCAAACCCCAAACCCCTAAAACCCCAAACCCTAAAAACCCCAAACCCTAAAACCCCAAACCCTAAAAAACCCCAAACCCTAAAAAACCCCAAACCTCAAAAAAAAACCCAAACCCTAAAACCCCAAACCCTAAAACCCCAAACCCTAGAACCCAAAGCCCCAAACTCTCAAACCCCAAACCCCTAAAACCCCAAACCCTAAAACCCCAAACCCTAAAACCCCAAACCCCAAACCCTAGAACCCCAAGGCCTAAAACCCCAAACCCTAAAGCCCCAAAGCCTAAAACCCCAAAGCCTCAAACCCCAAAGCCTAAACCCTCAAACCCTAAAACCCCAAACCCTAAAACCCCAAACCCTAAAACCCCAAAGCCTCAAACCCCAAACCCCTAAAACCCCAAACCCTAAAACCCCAAACCCTAAAACCCCAAAGCCTAAAACCCCAAACCCTGAAACCCCAACCTAAAACCCCAAACCCCTAAAACCCCAAAGCCTCAAACCCCAAACCCCTAAAACCCCAAACCCTAAAACCCCAAACCCCTAAAACCCCAAACCCTAAACCCTAAACCCCCACACCCTAAACCCTAAACCCCCAAACCCTAGAACCCCAAGGCCTAAAACCCCAAACCCCCAAACCCTAGAACCCCAAAGCCTAAAACCGCAAAGCCTAAAACCCTTAAAGCCTAAAACCCCAAAGCCTAAAACCCCAAACCCTAAAACCCCAAAGCCTAAAACCCCAAACCCTGAAACCCCAAACCCCAAAACCCCAAAGCCTAAAACCCCAAACCCTAAAACCCCAAAGCCTAAAACCCGAAACCCCAAAGCCTAAAACCCCAAACCCTAAAAAACCCCAAAGCCTAAAACCCCAAACCCTAAAACCCCAAAGCCTAAAACCCCAAACCCTAAAACCCCAAAGCCTAAACCTCAAACCCTAAAACCCCAAAGCCTAAAACCCCAAAGCCTAAACCCCCAAACCCCAAAGCCTAAAACCCCAAACCCTAAAACCCCAAAGCCTTAAACCCCAAACCCTAAAACCCTCAAGCCTAAAACCCCAAACCCTGAAACCCCAACGCCTAAAACCCCAAACCCTAAAACCCCAAAGCCTAAAACCCCAAAGCCTAAAACCCCAAAGCCTAAAACCCCAAAGCCTAAAACCCCAAAGCCTAAAACCCCAAAGCCTAGAACCCTAAAACCCTAAAACCCCAAAGCCTAAAACCCCAAACCCCTAAAACCCCAAACCCTAAAACCCCAAACCCCTAAAACCCCAAACCCTAAAACCCCAAACCCTAAACCCCCAAACCCTAAACCCTAAACCCCCACACCCTAAACCCTAAACCCCCAAACCCTAGAACCCCAAGGCCTAAAACCCCAAACCCTAAAGCCCCAAAGCCTAAAACCCCAAAGCCTCAAACCCCAAAGCCTAAACCCTCAAACCCTAAAACCCCAAACCCTAAAACCCCAAACCCTAAAACCCCAAAGCCTCAAACCCCAAACCCCTAAAACCCCAAACCCTAAAACCCCAAACCCTAAAACCCCAAAGCCTAAAACCCCAAACCCTGAAACCCCAACCTAAAACCCCAAACCCTAAAACCCCAAAGCCTAAAACCCCAAAGCCTAAAACCCCAAAGCCTAGAACCCTAAAACCCTAAAACCCCAAACCCTAAAACCCGAAAACCCCAAACCCTAAAACCCTGAAACCCCAAACGCTAAAACCCCAAACCCTAAAACCCCAAAGCCTAAAACCCCAAAGCCTAAACCCCCAAACCCCAAAGCCTAAAACCCCAAACCCTAAAACCCCAAAGCCTTAAACCCCAAACCCTAAAACCCCAAACCCCAAACCCCCAAACCCGAAAGCCTAAACCCCCAAACCCCAAACCCTAAAACCCCAAACCCCCAAACCCCAAAGCCTAAACCCCCAAACCCCAAACCCTAAAACCCCAAACCCTAAAACCCCAAAGCCTAAAACCCCAAACCCTAAAACCCAAAACCCCAAACCCCCAAACCCCAAAGCCTAAACCCCCAAACCCCAAAGCCTCAAACCCCAAAGCCTAAAACCCCAAAGCCTAAAACCCCAAACCCTAAAACCCCAACCAAACCCCCAAACCCCAAAGCCTAAACCCCCAAACCCCAAAGCCTAAAACCCCAAACCCTAAAACCCCAAAGCCTAAACCCCCAAACCCCAAAGCCTAAAACCCCAAACCCTAAAACCCCAAAGCCTAAAACCCCAAACCCCAAAACCCCAAACCCCCAAACCCCAAAGCCTAAACCCCCAAACCCCAAAAACCCCAAACCCTAAAACCCCAAAGCCTAAACCCCAAACCCTAAAACCCCAAACCCCCCAACTCCAAAGCCTAAACCCCCAAACCCTAAAACCCCAAACCCCAACCCCAAAGCCTAAACCCCCAAACCCCAAACCCTAAAATCCCAAACCCTAAAACCCCAAACCCTAAACCCCCAAACCCCAAACCCCCAAACCCCAAACCCTAAAACCCCAAACCCCAAACCCCCAAACCCCAAAGCCTACACCCCCAAACCCTTAACCCTCAAACCCCAAAGCCTAAAACCCCAAAGCCTAAAACCCCAAACCCTAAAACCCCAAACCCCCAAACCCCAAAGCCTAAACCCCCAAACCCCAAAGCCTAAAACCCCAAACCCTAAAACCCCAAAGCCTAAAACCCCAAACCCTAAAACCCCAAACCCCAAACCCCCAAACCCCAAAGCCTAAACCCCCAAACCCCAAACCCCAAAACCCCAAACCCCAAAACCCCAAAGCCTAAAACCCCAAACCCTAAAACCCCAAAGCCTAAAACCCCAAACCCCAAAGCCTAAAACCCCAAACCCTAAAACCCCAAAGCCTAAAACCCCAAACCCTAAAACCCCAAAGCCTAAAACCCCAAACCCTAAAACCCCAAAGCCTAAACCTCAAACCCTAAAACCCCAAAGCCTAAAACCCCAAAACCCCAAAGCCTAAAACCCCAAACCCTAAAACCCCAAAGCCTCAAACCCCAAACCCCAAAGCCTAAACCCCCAAACCCCAAAGCCTAAACCCCCAAACCCCAAAAACCCTAAAACCCCGGCCTCCCCGGCCCCGGCTTTCGGCGCGGCGCCGCGCGGAGGGAGGTGCGGACTGCGTCCGGGTGGGTGCCTTGGCCTCCTTCTCGGGTGCTCTTTCAAGCGAGCTTAGGGTTTAGGGTTTAGGGTGGGCTGCTGTTTTTTCTTCAGACATTTTGTGGGTTTGTATCCTCATATCTAGGGCGTCACCAGAAAGAGCGATGACTTCTAGAAGCCCCTTACAGCTTGAGCGATCCAAAGCGAAAAAGCTCCTCCAACGGCAGCATGGCCGGAGCGGCGCGGCGGTGGACATGCTATCGGGTTGGAGTTTGTTTTTAAAGTTGGAGTTTAGGCCTTGGGCTTTAGTGTTTGGGGCTTGGGGATATGTTTGGCTGACACCTCTCAGTGCTCGGCTCGGGTTGCCCGGAAAACCCTTCCTAAGCTTCAGTCTTCAGTGCTGAAACCACACGCGTCAATGCTCAGCCTCAAACGAAAACATCAATTTACGTCGGATGCCAGATCAAAAACGAAACATCCCCTCAGCTGAAGCCTCTGCAAAAGCCTTCGAGATCCCCAAGCTGTGGCGATGAATATTCTGCTTCGGCTAATGGCAGTCAAAAGCCTTGGGAAAGCGCTTGGAAGCTGCAGCAGATCATGAGACTGCGTGAGTCCCAGAAGATCAAGGTTCAGTCTCCAGTGGAGCTTCGGAGAATCTTGATTCATTCTACCGTTTTCCGACGAAGCACTGTTGCTTAGATGCATTGCACTGCGATGCATTATGGTCAAGCAGCGCCGCGTGCATGCGGCCCTCAGAAGCGAAAAATAATACAGTCGAATCGCGTGATCATGTGGACTGCTCTTCGTGGCTACAGCTTGTTGGCCGACCCAGCTTTTACGCGCTTCGCAGCTGTACAGAAGCGACGCTTTCGCCCTCTGCTTCCACTGGAGCTTCACCGTCATCTGGGGTTTGCAGCAATACAAGTGTAACACATGCACTTGCATCTTCTTCTCATTGCCGGAGTCCAAACCATACACCAAAACCCCAAATCCGAAGCTCCGGAACGAGGAGACGGTCTCAGCCCTCGCCAAACAGCCCCCAGTCCGTGATACGGAAGGAGCGCAAGAGCATCCTGAACACGTCCTGTGGCAAGGGGTTGTAAAGAAGTTCCACAGGTGCTCATGTATCACCCGCTCCGACTGTTTGATAGCAAACAAACAGCTGGCGGCTATCCTGCATTACTTTGGTCTGTTACGCCATGCTACATTGCTGCGCTGTTGAAGGTACATCATGGTACGCTACATGTGCTGCTTTAAGTTGTTCTCGACGTGCTGTGCTGCAGGATGCATGTGCAGACAATGCACACATGCATGCACCTAGACATGTCAAGGCGCAGATGGGCAGTGCACGATAGATCGATAGATAGGTAGATGGGTAGATGATACACAGACAGACAGATAGATAGACAGAGAGACGGACAGACAGACAAACCGACAGAGACATAGATAGATAGAGGAACAGATAGGTGACCAGAATAAACAACCGACGCATGCGAACAGCCAAAACACGCAAGAACACGGGCTCTCGATTGTGGGGCTTGGATACTACAGCACAGCAAAGTGTTGCATGATCATCTCTGCAGTTGCAACACAAGCATGGGTATCGATCTGCTTGCACGCCTTCCATCTAGAATCATACTTCCAGACCATACTTATCCATTCTCTTTCGCTGTGCTTTGTCTGAGCAGCGAGAAAGTTCTCCACGCACCCTCCACATCAAAAGCCTAAACCTCACTTGCCGACCCTATATAGGCCTTCTTTCTGACCCCAAACCCTTCACCACCCGTAACCCAAACCCCCAAGCACCCAAACCCTGAACACGAAAACCACAATACCTGCACTGAGCTTAAACTCCAAAACCCGCAACCCTGCAAACCTAAACCCTCAGCCTTTGAACTCCTTCGCCCCTTACGCTTAAACCCCCGAAGCCAACGTGCAAACTGACACTCGGGGCCTCGGCCGGCTCGGACGGCACCGGCGCCTCAGCGCTGCTGCTGTCGGGGTCGACGTGCACCTGGGGGGGCACAACATGATGTGTAATGTGATGTAATATAATAATATAGGGTTGAGCAAGCAAGGCCAAGCTTTTGCCAAGGCGCTGGATCGTTCAACGTGATGAGGATGTCCTCTGCAGGATGTCGCACAAAAAAAGCAGGATAGCCAAAGCAAGGGCGACTCGGAAGTGACTGCAAACCCTAAATCCGGAACCAGAACCCTAAACCTGGTCACAGCATTGGGTTCGTTGCTTCTTTTGTGACTGAGAAGATCCAGCGTTGTGAACTGCCCAAAGGCCGAAACTACCGGGCTGAGTCCCAGAGCCTCAAACTAGACCTCATAGACCGAAGTGTGGTTCTGCAGCAGGTCACGGACAACGCTTATCCTGAGACAAAAGCCCGAAGCTCGTTTGAGACGTCGGCGAAGACAGTCCCAAGCACTACAATCCCAAACCGCCAGCCCCGAAACACTGCAGGCAGTGGCTGGGTACCCGGGCCGTCGAAACGTCGGGCAGTCGGATGGCCGCAGCGTGGATCCGAACGCGGTTCCCACGATCCTCGCATCACAGTTTGGGGACGACATCCAAATGGGCGCCTTCTCGTCTGTCTTCATGGCTTCTAGGGGTCGAGGGCCTTGTGTTAAGCGCTTTGGGAGCGTGGATCTCGACGAAAATACCGACAAAACGGCTCATCGTGGAACAGCGAACTGACAAGGATCCTCCAAGTATCTTCTGACTCCAGGCTACATACGATTACCCTTCGCCCAGACCCAAGCCCGAAACCTCGTCCCCTTGAGCCCCCACCTCGCGAAACTTGGCCACGGTCTGCTCCCCTATGCCCGCAAGGCATCGGGCTGTGGCCGGGAGGTGGGGCACCTCCATGGTTAGAGACCCTCAGCCAGCAGTCAGGAGGAAAGGATCAAGCACGGACACGAGCCATCATCATCATCATCATGATCATCGCCATCGTCATCATCATCAGCACCATCATCATCCTCATCGTCACCAGCATCATGGTATTCATCGCTCTTCTCATCGTAGTAGAAAGCACCTGGCCAATTCCCATGGCGGTCCAGCCGACGGATTTCGTCAGAGCTTTTGTCAGGTTTGTAGGGGGCTTCTTAAAGACCCTGTGCAGAATCAACATGCCTCACTCTCTGCTCACTCTTGTGGTCTTGAGCAAGTGCCAACTTCCACCAAGCTCGAACCGCTCCACACCGAAAATTCACGCCTCTGAACCCAAGCGGCCTCCTCCGCAGCGACACTGCGGCTTTCGAGCACCTTCGGGTCCTAGTGCCGGATGGCTGGTTGGCGTCATGGAATCTCAAGGATGTTGCTAAGTCCCGGCAGTCCTGGGCCTCGTTGAAGGCGGCAAGGTCGGACCTGAAGCGGCTCAAGAGAAAAGGCATTGAAGCGGAAGCCGGTATCCTTCTCTTGGTCAGAACGTACACAACCTGGTGGAGTCGATGCCTACACGACAGATCCCCGACAAGCCCACGGCAAGAAGAAGTCGATGGCCTGGAAAGGGTCAACGACAGCTCGCGGCGTGTCGTGCGCGTAATCACGAGCCCATCGCGATGGTGATGAGGATGAGGATGAGGAGGAGGAGGAGGAGGAGGAGGAGGAGGAGGATAATAAGAGGACGAGGATAAGGATGAGGACGAGGATGGTGATGATGATGATGATAATGATAAAGATGATAACGAGGAGGAGGAAGAGGAGGGAGAGAACAAAGCCATGATGATGAGGAGGATCACGATGACTACAATTGTATCTCTTGCACGCGTCATGACAGCCATGACTGCCACGACAATAGCCACAGTGATTGCTATGGCGAGCGGGATTTCAATGACTACGGCGACTCCTACTAAGACTATTGCAAATTTCGTTAGAACGATGCCTATGGATAAGCACGATCACAATGGTGAGCATTCTTACGATGATAGCTTTTTCTGGGAGTAATTGTTCGGCTTGCGCTTCCCACTATTTGTTCATCTCGAGCATATTCACACATAGCGCTTGGGTTTGTTTACTTTGAGATCGGAATTACTACCATTACTACCATTATGACCACGGTTCATACCAATACGAACACTACAATATCTTGTGTTGCTACTGTTACCAGTGCTGCTGCTTGTCATGTTTGTCACACTTACGAGTATCGCGGCGTGGCCTATGAATGTCGGTGTTACGAGAGCACTGCTGCCATTGAAAGTGCCGGTTTCGGTTGATGGCGGTGCCATTGTCGTATGCCTGTAATGACCATCGCATCATTCGCAACTTATTAACGTTGACACGACCAATAACGTAGCATCGTTCCACTCCCGTTCCTACACACTGCTTTAAAGTGCGAGTACCGCATAGCGGCATAGCACCGCTAGACGTGTTCTTTATCACAAACGCAGTAGCCGCAGCCATAGCAGCAGCACGTGTAGCAGCAACAAGAACGGCAGCAGCAACAATAGCAGCAGCAGCAGCAGCACAGCAGGGCACAGCAGCAACAGCAGTAGTAGCAGCAGTCATAGTTGTTGTAGCAGCCGCATTGACACGACCAATAACGTAGCATCGTTCCACTCCCGTTCCGACACACTGCTTTAAAGTGCGAGTACCGCATAGCGGCATAGCACCGCTAGACGTGTTCTTTATATTTATCACAAACGCAGTAGCCGCAGCCATAGCAGCAGCACGTGTAGCAGCAACAAGAACAGCAGCAGCAACAATAGCAGCAGCAGCAGCACAGCAGGGCACAGCAGCAACAGCAGTAGTAGCAGCAGTCGTAGTTGTTGTAGCAGCCGCATTGACACGACCAATAACGTAGCATCGTTCCACTCCCGTTCCTACACACTGCTTTAAAGTGCGAGTACCGCATAGCGGCATAGCACCGCTAGACGTGTTCTTTATCACAAACGCAGTAGCCGCAGCCATAGCAGCAGCATGTGTAGCAGCAACAAGAACAGCAGCAGCAACAATAGCAGCAGCAGCAGCAGCAGCACAGCAGCAACAGCAGTAGTAGCAGCAGTCGTAGTTGTTGTAGCAGCCGCATCAGTCGCAGTGGCCGTAGTATGCCGGCAGCCAGAGCAGCAGGAGAGCAGGAGAGCAGGAGCAGCTGCAGGAGCAGCAGGAGCAGCAGGAGAAGTAGGAGCACTGGATAGTCGTAGTAGGTAGTAGTCGTCGTCATAATAATAGCGGCAGCAGCAGCCGCAGCTGTAGACCTAGCCTATGAACCTCGCAATCCCTGCTGGAAGTGAGCTCCGGCCTGGCCGTCAGGAACTTCCTTCCGCGCTGTGTGTTTTCTTGGGTGGTTTCGTTTAAAAGGGCTGTTCGTTTGTGTGAAGCGTTCCGGTTAAGGATTTGAGAAATTCTAAAGTTCGGGGCACAGAAAGACTGCAGATCGCGTTGTAATCGTTGCTCAGTATTGAGCCGAATCCTGAAAGCAACCTTACATCATCTCGTCCACACGCACACACACTCCATGAGCATCAATTAGCAATTGCCACGCCACTGCGATGTCCATCCTAAATAATGGATTATAATGGTGTAGCCCGCAAAGATGACGATGGGGATACTTGGGTAAGGTTGCTGCATTCCGACTGCGATGACTGTGTTTATGATAGAAGAGAGGTTGGGGCACACGGAGGTATGCGAGTTTGGGAAGCGGTATCCGACATTAGCAGTGCTTTCTTATCAGAAAGGAACCCTCCTTCTTCTCCCCGTTCTCATCATCATCCCCAGCAAGGCTCAAGGCAGCCCCATTCGGGTCCTTCGCCTCCAGGATTTCAATGACTACACTCCTGCCCATGTTCGCAGATGCAGGATCGAGGTTGAAAGATTTCGACAGAGGTCGGGGAACGTAGCACCGAGACCAAAAGTTCACAAGTTTCTAAAGCTGAGCATCATGTCTGGGGGGATGCAGCTGATGCATCTTCGGTTGTTCGCGCTTCACTCCACGTGGTCATGCTACGAATCGTGATCGACCTCAAGACTGATCCTAGGGCAACTATACTTCTTCACCGGTCGTCCCTCAGCAAAATGCAGAATGTGGGAGACTACAACGCATCGAATTTTGCAGATCAGCGCAAATGCAGTGAAGGATCCTAAGCTCGAAGCCCTGTACTTAGGCGCCTCTGACACCCGCCCCTCCCCCTAGGTTCAGGTTTGTGCAGTTTAGGCTTGAGGAGAGGCAACGAAACTGTCACCTACAAACCCGACACTCGAAAGAACTCCGGAAATGTACACCCCTACTGGGGGGCTAGGTATTCTGCTAGTTAGATGTACGTCCCCGAAGGCGTCCTGTCCGAGCTGGTGTCGACCCAGACCTCTTGGTGGTCTGGCACCTTCTATTGTTCCCAGTATTGCCATTCCTACTATGGACACCCACTATCCCTTTTATTCCTGTGATGTCTATTTTCCCATAATTCCTATGATTAATATGATATGATTACTACCAGCATCACGACAGTTACTATGAGTACTATCTTTTACTACTGTCACTGTTGATGCTCTCATTGCTCTGACGACTATCGCTAATATTTCGGGTCTTGCATGCAAGACCTGGGGCTGCAAAATTTACGTTCTGACTATTTTGATTCCTGTACCCTTACACATACCGTTGTTTATGACCGTGTCTCTGATTATGACCTAAATCTCTATAAGCTGCTGCTACAGATCGTGAAAGACTTGGGCCGGGTCTACGCGACGCGGTGCTCAGCTCAGGAGCAAGCAATCGAATCAACAGCCGAAAAGTACCCGTTTAGTCGAAGTTCTCGTACGGCACCTTGAGCATCCGAAGAGGAACCCCCAACCCCTAAAGCCCGAATAGGGCCTATGGGGTTTGGGGTTCCCAAACGCTGCACCCTTACCTTTATATCGCCCTTATGATACACTTTTATTGTACCCGAATGGCCCGGCAACAAATCCCTCAGAACCCCAGAACGATTTCCGGCTTGAGCTTCCGTGGGAAGAACCTCTCGGAAGGCGCTGGCGTCGGTGAGGGTCCTCCAGGCTTCTCTTGTGTCTTCTGCTCTCGTTTGTTCCCGTCTGCCGGGGCATCTTGGGTTTGGGGCTCAGGGTTTAGGATGGCTCAAGCTGGAAATTTGAATGAGGAAAGCCTTGAACGGAAAGGAAGAGTAGCCACGGACACCGTGTCTGCGGATCTCTGGCATGTGGCATTTCCCATTCTTACAAAACTAGCAAGCTTTCAATCAGTCGCCATAGCTCTTCTTCACGTCGGCCGCATGTCAACGGTAAGACATGGAAATGAGGGCGGATGAGGGGGACCCTTCGGGATAGAGACCCTCTCAATAAGGTCCCTTTTCAGAAGAGAGCCAGAAGTAGGGCTTCGAAGAGTCCACAAAGAGGTCTCCATACTACTGCCTAGGAGTACTCTGGTAAAGCATGCAGCACTTTCCAAGGGGCGGAGCCTTGGCAGCTCGCATGTCAAGGCACCGCCGTAGAGGGGCACCTGCATATGTTAGAAATCTGTTTCGACCCTCTTGTGTAAATATCCATGTAAATATACACACACACACATTACACACATCTATCTATCTAATCTAACCTAACCTAATGTGGTCTTATCTAGCTACCTATCTCTCTCTCTCTCTCTCCCTCCCGCTCTCGTCTAAGATGTTGTTCTGTTGCACTCCGGCCTCGTGGCCCCCGGCCATCACGATCACAGACGAAGCCGAAGACTTGGGTGAAGACTTGCGCAGCCTCCTACGCCCTAAAACTGTAGAGCCTTAAAGGGACAAGCATGACAGGCTTCGGAACCTTCGTGCAGGGGTGGGGAGGGGTCGGGATGCGGGAGGATGACAACGTCCATGTTGGCATCTGCAAGTGCTCTGCGGCAGGTGGGGCTCGGTCGCTGGATGTGTGGTTGTGCAACGATTGTTGCGTGGCTTTGCCCCTATCCTGTTTTCAGCGCTTTGCTGCGTGGTTGTTGCACGCCGTGCCATACTGTATCGACGCCATCAACTTGCACACGTGCCCAATGCCCCTAAGCCTGAACCGCTGGTTTTGCCAGGCGCAGCCCGATCAGCACGGACTTCAGAACTTGAACTCTTATGGGGGCGTCAACAATGTGAACGAACCGTCAAGGGCTCCTTTTGGTCCTCGTCGGCATCTCAGCGCGTTGGTAGTGAGTGGAGCGAGGAACGTGACCGTTGCAGCACAAACATGTTGACACGTCCCTCCTCTTTTGGTTAGCTGACCGCGGCAGTGTTGTCCACACGATTCTCAGAAGCTGCTAATGCCATTTCCACGAGGCTGATACATGCTACTACATGCTACTACAAGCCTACAAGCCGTATAGACCAGCTTCTGCGTCAATCTTCTTCCACAGCGAGGGCACATCGCCCCCGCCATCATCCCAGCTCCAATGCTTTACGCTGAACGAGTCATCTTCCGCATCGTACACATCTTTGAGGCAAGCGTGCTGCAGGGCGTCATGCGCAACAAGTCGTCTGGTGGGATCAAACGCCAAGAGCTTGTTTAACAACTCAAGCTGCTCGCTAGATGCAATCGGAAACATGATCGCCCAGTCCTGCCGCCGGAGCGAGCAACAGTGCTGCTCGACAAACTTTTTGGCATTCTCAAAGTGGGCCCCAAGCCATGCCAGCTCATCATCGAGCGGCGTGCCAATAACCTCGCAAATAGCCCGGATCTGGTGCAAGAAATCACGGCCTTGAAACAGGGGTGCATGACCGAGCATCTCCGCGAATACGCACCCAACACTCCACATGTCAACTGCTGTCGTATAACAACATGACGTGAGGATGGCTTCGGGGGCTCTGTGCCACCGAGTGCCGATGTACTCAGTCAAAGCATCAACCTGCTCTGCAGAAGCGGCTGCAGGTCCAAAAACAGGTGTAGAGACGTCCCGCGCCAAACCGAAATCACACAGCTTTAGGTCGCAAGCCTTGCTGACCTAGATGTTTTTGCGGTTTGCCCGAAGAAGCTGGCATAAAAACCAATGGACGTGCTCGTTGCTGAGAATTGTTCTTTTCATCAGGGCACTTAGGTCTGTGTCCAAGCACTCAAGGATGATGTGCACCTTTTTGCGATGCCAATCACTGCCTGTTGAGAAAGCACCAAAAAATTAACGATGCACTCGTGCTGCAGATGTTTGAGTAAACGGATCTCGCGAAGAGTTCGACGGAGCTCGGCGGCTTTATCACTCGGCGGTTCAATCCGTTTGACCGCGTATTGCCTTGCACCGAAGCAAACAGCGTACACGCAGCCACTTGCGCCTTGGCCCAGCTTCCGGTCGAGTTTCCAGTGGGCTGGCAACAGAGCTGTTTCTACATCTCGCCTGTGCCCGTGAAGGAAGTCCAGCGCAGCTTGCACGGCTCCAGCTCCGGGGACAGCATGCGGAGCACCCGCTCCGGGCACATGCAGCTTCACAGTTTCGACCTCCTCATGGCTTTTGCCACAAGCAGCCAAGCCCCCTGCGCCGAGAGCTCCCGCTGCGGTTGCAAGTGACAGCCAGCCCTGCCATGACAGCCAGGAAAACCAGGACCAGGTCCCCGCCGTCGGCGCACTCACAGCGAGCAAACTCAATGAGATTGGCTCCATGGTCTGCGGCGTAGAATGCTGAGTACGGCGAAGGAAAACAACTGTAACTGTGTAGGGTTCAATCTTCAGGTCTGATGTGGCATAGCAGCGTATCCGAGTCATCGATTGAAGTGGGTTTGGGACCGAGTTGAACATTGAAGTTCTAGTGCCAGATGCCAGCAACGAGAGGCAAACTGAAAAGACATAGGGATCTTATCCTGGCCCAACAAAGGCCAAAACCTGGCCGCGCGATGGCGCAGGCTTCAAAAGATGTTCTACGCATCCTCGCAACGTTTCTATATACCCGACTAAGTAAATGCAAATGCACAGGATGTATCGCTAGCCACGCAGATCTCAAGTTGCTGGAAAATTGGTTAGGCATTCGTCCTGCGTGTGGCAACTGCCGAACCGCGCCAGTTGGGAGTCTTGGCATTGATTGCAAAGACGGGGCTAGTCGTACCACCCTACCCGCACACACACACACACACACACACACACATACACACACACACAACGTCCGTGCGGGTACGGCTTACATTTATTGTTTTTCCTGCTGCTTCCGTGCAGGGGATGGGAACCATGCCGATGCGGCCTATTTCTAGGCTTCTTTTTGTTTGCATGTTGGTGCTCCTGAGTAGGAGGATTCTGGCGAGTATGATGGCTATGATGATTGTGAAACCTAACCTATTGTAGTCTTATCTACCTATCTTGCTTGCACTCAGACAGAGAGGGCAGAACCCTCCCGCGCGCTACCTATCTCTCTTTCTTTCTTTCTCTCTCTCTCTCTCTCTCTCTCTCCCTCTCGTCTAAGATGTTGTTCTGTTGCACTCCGGCCTCGCGGCCCCCGGCCATCACGATCACAGACGAAGCCGAACACTTGGGTGAAGACTTGCGCAGCCTCCTACGCCCTATCACTGTAGAGTTTTAAAGGGACAAACATGACAGGCTTCGGAACCTTTATTTGTGACATGGCACATTTCTCACCCCGAACCACGCGGCTGCGGGTCAAAGCCCCAACTTCATCGGCAGACATTTTGCAACTCACATATCTCAGGTTTACCCATGCTTACAGCACTAAGCCATCACGCTCGGAAGTTTGCAGCTGGCGATGTCACCGCACTGCAACCGCGGTCTTCAGTTTTCGCGCCCTTCGCCCTATGTGGAACAGGAAGCCTTTGGCTAACACCTGCCCGGTTCGGGAACTTCAGAAGCGGTGAAACAGTGAGATCTTGCTTGCTACTGGGATGTCAGTATACGTTGAGCTACAAGAGCCGGATGATATCTTGCTTGGAGGTTTGTCCCGGCTCTCGACAAGCTACTTCTCCGTTCTGGAGCTTATACTTTACCACGTGGCTCTTTCTTTGCCGAGCATGTCTACGGGGTCCGGGACATGATGTGCATCTTTGGTATTGAATTCGCGTCACCGCTTGCTGGGCCGCGAGTACACGGAAGCCCCCTGCTGAAGCTCACGGCTTGAGGGCAGAGATTCATTGTCGCTATGACTGCAAGGAATTCTAAAACCAGCAACGTTTCCATGGCTTCGGTAGACAGATTCGGCATGACTCACATTTCATGGACCCAGAGAGATCATCCACCCATGTATGTCGAATCGCAAATTTCCAGCGGCGTGCAAGCAGTAAGATTTCGCATTCTAGAGGTGAAGTGCGCGGAGCTTCTTCGAGACAACAACCAATGCAGAGAGGTAGAAGCATCCATCTTCAAGCCTGAGCCCGAACCTTACAACAGTTGCCGATTTGCCACCATTGACTAAAGAGTGCGCCCCCTTCGAGTTTAGGGTCTCATTGAGCGCAGCACCGGGCTGCCAGGAATGGCTGGTGCCGGCGGGGCGCACGGCGTGGGATTCCTGCAAGGCCGCTACTCACCTATCTGCATATGCCTTAACCCTGCAAGAATGGAAGCAACCGCAGCCGAACAAAACGATGGAAGGAGTCGAAGTCGCCGAGCACAAATCAGCTGGTAGTGCAAGTCCTGCAGATTGGTGTTCCATGCTGAGCTACGGGCACTCAAAGCATTGCCAGAAAGAGAAGCATCCCATGACTTTTTTCGGCCTGACAGGAGGTGGGTGGTGTCACGTCGTGACCACACTGTCACAGTGACGCACCAGAAACTAGAGGCGTGAAGCCTCTGCTACAGAAGCAGCAGATTTTCACGGGATCGTCACAACAGGATCATTTACAAAACCTTCCTCTTCTTCCTCCTCACCCTCCTCTTCTCCCTCTCCATCTTCCTGGTCGTAGCCCCGCATGACGTAAGCCAGGCGAAGCACGAGGTCTGGTGAAGCTTCATGAATCATCTTCAGGTCCTCCTTCGTACAAGACCATGCCAAGCCCCGAATGCAGCGACTCTGCTGCCTTGCCAGGCCATGCTCTTTGGCTTGCAAGAGTCTTTGGACCGAAACGGGCAAGCCAAGGAGGGCTTCCTCACAAGCTTTCTGCAGGAAGCTTACTTGATAGTAGGACGCAAGAGTGAGCAAGGCGTCAACGTTCTTCTCAACGATCTTTTGCTTCCCGACCAGACCAGCACCTGGCTGCAGAAGGCCGTAGAAGAGGTCGAAATCCTCTTTGGAAGCAACAGTCACGTCGATGGTTTTCTCTTCCTGCTCTTTCATGCCAGACTCCAGCATCGCATCAAACACAGGAGAAGACATGCGTAGAAGCGAGGAGCATGCAGAGCTTGAGCCGGATTCGAATCTCAGTGTGATGTCATCCAGGGAGCTGCTCTTCCGCTTCATTGCTCGGAAGCGCACGCAGTAGACTGTCTATATACGGGCGTACATAAGTATCGATGTGTACATGTATGCGTGTAAGTATGTCTGTCTGTGCGTGTGTATGCACGTCTGTTATATATATATATATATATATATATATATATATATATATATATATATATATATATATATATATAGAAATATATATATATATATATATAGATAGATAGATATATATATATATATATATAGAGATATATATATGTATATATAGATATAGATATAGATATAGATATAGATATAGATATAGATATAGATATAGATATAGATATAGATATAGATATAGATATAGATATAGATAAATAGGTAAACAGATAAATAGATAAACAGATAAATAGATAAATAGATAAATAGATAAATAGATAAATAGTTAAATAGATAAATAGATAAATAGATAAATAGAAAAATAGAAAAATAGATAAATAGGTAAATAGGTAAATAGGTAAATAGGTAAATAGGTAAATAGGTAAATAGGTAAATAGGTAAATAGATAAATAGATAAATAGATAGATACACACATATGCCCGTATGTATACATGCGTGCATGTATCTACATATATGCGTCTGCGTATGTAACCGTATGTACGTAGGTATATTGTGGCTGCATGAGCAAGCTTTGAGTGACGTGCGGTGCTGAGCATTGCTTGCTCTACAATTCGACAAACTGAAGAAAATGCCTGCAGAACGCTAGTCCAAGCAAAACCTAGGAAAGCTGCTGCCACAGATGGTATAAACAATCAGTAGCCTTCAGCCCCCCCCATTCACACAAAAATACCTGAGTTGCATAACATAGAGCGTCCGAAAACAGCACTGCAAACAGCAGCATCCGTCATGTGAGGACCCAAATACGGACCCCCAGACTGTTGGCCCTAACTGTAAGAGACCCCATATGTCAAAGCAGGACCCTTGAACCGCGCAGCAAACCATGCCACTCCTCCCTTCACACGTGATCCTTCTCTCGTACTCCCTTACATGCCCTTGTGCTCCCACATCTGATGGATCGAAGCCGTGAAAGCCGATAACTCAGTCCTTCGTTGAATGCCGGGCTCATCGAGAATCGCGGTGTCGCCAGGGATCGGAATGAGCTCCGAGCTTGAAGACCGGCCTACACCTAAAAGGAATTCGCTTAAGAACTCCAAGCGTCCATTGTGGCTTCAAGCCCCAAAGCCAAGCCCCACGATTTACATTCCTGAATTCCGGAAGTGGATTCGAACACCGACTGCAGCCCTAGGAGTCGTCGGCGTGCTCCAGGATCTGAGGCTCTAGGTGTGGGGAAGCTCTGGTTCTGAGGCATCGGGCCCTAAGAAATAAATGCTGAAAATTACAAGCGGGCTGGAGGAACCCGAAACCGTACCTTAACCCCAAAAACCGATAACCCTAAACCCTGCCTTAACCCCAATAAACCGACCTTTTCAGGACGTATATAAAGAAATCACATGAAGGAACCCGAACGAGGTAGGTTATTTGGGTCCAGGGAATCCGAAAGATGCCGCAGTGCGTACTCCAACCGCCGTCCTTGCAGCCACTGCCGACTCGGAGCGCCTGCACGGCAGTAGCGTCTAGCACAACCCGAGCCCGAAGAAACAGCCCCGCACAAAGGTAGAGCTTCAAAGGGTCTTCGGCAAAGCACTGGGCCTGAAACCTTTCAAACGCTAAGCATCCCTCATCCAGGAGTCCTCATCGATCTTTGGGAGCTGGTGGTGCTCCGCACCTGGGTCACAACATGCATCATAGAAGCCCTCACGTGAGGGCTCAGATTTTCGGGCCACAACTACGAGCGAGCTTTGCGGGGCTTCCAGGCCCCGTGCCGAGGGTGCTGGCGTCGCCCGCAGCCGTGGGGCACCTGGGGTCCCAGAGAGCTCCATCGATGCGGCAAATGGTTTCAACTGCGAATCCAATCCACAACTGCTCACAAGTCCAAGGAAGTCCAGTCTGCTGTACCCGCAGGCTGTGCCAAGCCGAGCACTTTGGTGGCCCTCGGACTGTCTGCTTCCCTGGCACCAAGCTGCAACTTGGGGAAGGCAGAAACCCCGTGCGCGATCAACGTTGGATGCCCTCTCTGAGGACCCCTGATTCAGCGTGACTCATGCCAAATCAAGCAACAGTCACGCGTGCCCAATGCCAGGGGTTGGGGACTCCGGGTCCGACGCCTTTGACAGGGTGGACGGTGGGCGAATCGTCCGCACCTTTCGGGTCTACACAAACCTGAGGAGCTGAGAGTGTGCTGTTTGAGGATGCCCGGCCTGGTCCATGTCCCGTGTCGGCATCGTCCTGTACGCGAGGCCTTCGCCTGCAGACTGCCTGCGCACGGCTGCAATAGCAGACTAGAACATGCATGAAGGCCCTGTCCTGAGGCTTGGCGGACACTGTATGCAACCCGGAGCTTTTTTAGAACAGCCAGCCGTTCTTCTACCGCGCAGCGCTGCGCGTCTCACGGCTAGCGGCTAGCTCTCGGCTTCGTCGGCTGGTGCCCGTGTGGCCACCAGCAGGTAGGCCTCAGAATGATGCATCCGGCACGGAATATTGACAAAGAAGGGGAGCACAGAACCACACCACAAGTCGCCACAAGCACCAACTTTGAGCAGCAGACCGTGTGGGACCTCATGGGCATCTGGTAGCTCAACCACTGGCTCCCAGGATCTGGACCTTGCCCAGAACTGCATCGCTTCAAGCAGTGTATTGGCAGCCCTGCCTTTACCCGCCAACCGTACATCGAGAGCATGGCACATGAGTGGAAGGCTTCCTGGGCGCTGCACCGCTTTTCGCAGTTGTACTGGGCCCTTGTGGCCTGCACAGAAGACAACAGATTCTTCCCATCTTGTGTCGTTGTTGGTGTAGCGGCTACGGAGTGGTGGCGGATGTCAAAACAATAACAAAGCTGCCACGAGTAGCAAGGGCTCAATGTGATGCCTGCTACATTCTGCAGCGAGCCACACGTTCATCGAAGCCCGACAACTCGGCACCGCCAAAGACCTGCTGTGTCCAACGGCACCGGCCTCGAAGACTCATCCGCGTCCTGGCATGAACATAAACTCTGACTCTCTGAGACAGGCAAAACTGAAGTTGAATTCGGATTCTGTCCACTTTCTCTCCGGCGGGTCATCAAACGACCCGCGGAAATGCAGTCGTGAACTTGCACAGCGGCAAGCGCCTACTTCTAAGCTGTGGCCTGTGGAACCTTGCAGCCATCCTGAGGACCGTTGTCTTGGTTGTCTTGGCAGCGATTCAAGCCGGAGAACCCAGCATGTCCCCAAAGATGCATTGCTTTCGCGCGTGACCACTCTGACCTTACGGCATCATCGCAGTGGTCGAAGTTTTTCAGGGAGCTGCAGGCTGCAGAAGTTCGGAGGCAAAGGCTCAACATCTTCCTCTGGCAAGCGACGCCCCAAAGTCCCCAAAGCCTCGAAGGCCTAAGACTTGGAGACTTGCACCCGGAGTTCAGGGGTACCGGGTAGCTCCTGGCCAGCTGAGTTCGCCAGGCGCCGCTTCTTGGACTTGGCCTCCCGAGGCTGCAAAGTTCCATGGCCGTAGCATAACTCGGAGGCTTTGGGCTGTGGGATGCTTGTGAGGAACCCCCACAAAGCCAAGCGCTTCAAGCTCCGTGTTGGGCCCCGCCTCAGCAGCGCGAACGCCCCAGTTCACGGCCAGCGTCTCCACCCTCGAATCACTCCAGTGACGTGCTCTGGGTGGTTTTTGGGGCGGGTGGCTTTGTCGCCCCCGGGTGCGCTGACCCTTGTGAATAGGACGCCGCTTGTGGACTGCTACAAATGATTGCGAGGTGTCTGATACCCCCGAGCTGCTCCGGCCCCACAATGCCCGGTTCAAGGCGAGAAACATGCGGACATCGAAGAATCGGCCGCTGCGCCGGAGCTCCGTGGCCGTCTTGTCCACCTGTGACGGTTCAGAGACGGGTTCGGGAGCAGGGTCCGGGCATCCGCTTGCACTCGTCCCTTGAATCCGAGCCTGCTCCACACAGGGCGAAAAGGTCACCTCAGGCTCAGGCGGTAGGATGCGGTGCATCAAAGCCCAAGGGTTTTGACGGGAGGAACCGGCCACAAATTGAAAAGATGCCACAGACTTCGGGAGGTCGCGAAGCAATCTGAGGGTTGAGCTCCTGTAGGATAACAAACCCCTACGGTGGTATCGACACGGCAACCCCGATATAGAACATCCATCAGCTGCGGCATGAGTCGCAAGGCGACCACCAGGGACCAGGGCATCGAGGACGTGACCCACTGCGGCCCAGGGTGCCGGGAGGTCCTCGTTTAAGCTTCGGGCCACTTCGGGGTGTGAGGGACCTACAGCCATTAGGTCTGCTCTTTGCAAAAGAAACTTCTTTCGTCGTGCACTTTCCAGCTGCTCTCAGTCAACTGTACATTTTTTTTCCCACGGATCAGCTGGGCTCCAGGCTAAGAAGATGCCATGAACCGCCTCGATGCATCCAGCCGTTCAGCCAGTGCATGTATGTGTGTGTGTATATGTATGTATATATATATATATATATGTATATATATATATATACGTGCGGCACACATGCAGGCATGCTTGCTTACGTTCATTCCCTTTTCAATACATGCTCTACTTGTTCTACACTGCTTCTATGCGCTGCCTAGTTATAGCATTCATACGAGCATCGTGACATACTGACAATGCTTCAATATGTCATATGTCAGATCGCAGTTGATGTCTTTTAGTCCTTCCCAGCTCTCCCTGAGGCCAGAGCCCCGCGAAGGTCCTCGCCGAACCCATCATTGCCTAGCACAGCTGCCGATCGACCGCGCGAGACGGGGAGAAGTAGGGCATAACGTACCGGTATATTACTTCCGCGGGCGGAACGACATGAAGCCCAAGGATGCAAAGATGGGCGAAGATCGAAGTGATTCAACGACGGCGGATCAGTTGCAGCGACTATGCAAGGATCGACTGCATCCTGGGGGCCATGGCGGGGCCCTCTAGAAGCTCTTGGGTATCACATATTAAATACAACGTACTGTGTATTGCATAACCTGTGTATACATGCATATGATCTATATATATATATATATATATGTATATATATATGTATATATATGTATATATATATATATATACAACTGAAAATACTTGCTACATCTGCCAATGCCGGGTCTGCATCTGCTTCGCTCTGGCTCTGGAAGCTTGTCGGAATCAGCGCAACAACTCAGACCGAGGCAAACGTCTCTGTGGTGGGAGACGATGACATCCATGAAGCCATATTTCTCAAAGTCAGCAGCAGCTTGCCGCTGGCGGTCCTTGCCGTCACGGTCCGGAATCAGCATGGAAAGCCAAGGAAAAAAATCAAGCAAAAACAGACACAGAACGGAGAGAGGAAGGGAGAGAGGGCCAGCGAAGGGTTGCACAAAGGTCTGTTCATCCAAGGACCAATGTGAGGGCAAAAAGGTGCATGGGCCCAGCTAGGCCATGTTGGAACTCATGGAGTCTCTCACCAGGTCCTCGTGGAACTCGAAGGTATGCAGCTTCCTGAGTGTGTGAACGATGGCGAATGGACCGACAAACGTGACGGGAACTCACTGTACACTTAACCTACTAGTACGGAGATAAAAGCACACATCTGCATGAACAAATCACGATTTCATTTAAATACGAAATTACTGTCACCTTGACAAGAAGCTACGACCGACAAGGAGGATCTCTTCCTGCGTGCAATGCTCGGCACTCAACGCTTCTCAATCTCCGGGCCCTGCGATGCAAGTCCTACACATATCTCGTAGCCCTTGCTCCACTGCTGGGAGTGTACCTTTTCGACCACCCGGGTTCCGAAACTTTCATCTCAACGTTGCTCCAGAACTACGCTATGCTTGTTCCTCATCACCTTCCATATACCAAGTCCTTTCCGGCTTGTGCGACAAGTCCAGAAAGTTCAGAGACATGTTCAGAAGCTGTTTGGCCAACTCTGGATTTTCGGTCACGATCTGCAAGACTTTGTCTCTCTGGCGACACAAGATCTCGCACTTGTTGTATTGGAGTAATTCCACGCAAGTGCGCTCTAGCCTGCCGCAGCTGCCGAAGACGTGCGCCAGCACCGACAAAATATTCTCCTCTGACAGCAGGTCTTCCAGCTCATCCTCCGTCCTCCTCACGAGCCGATTCAAGCTGTAGCGATCGGCAAGACGTCGCACAGACAACGCAAACACCACATCTCCACGTGCAGAGAATGTTTCAGACAGCATGAAATGGAATATCGCTGTCATGACACGGCAGTCTGCCAGTGGTTCATTGCTCATGTCGACTTCATTGCTCTGCCCCTCCTTCCAGCCTGTACTGCCCAACATGTGCTCAAAATACTCTGAAGAGGTCATCAAGATCCGCTTGTCGAAGTACATGGGAGGCCCCTCGGCAAGGTAGAAGGTGACATACTCTGGCTGCTGCGTGAAGTTCAGGTCATGGACGAAGTTATGCCAAGCATCAACCTTCAAAGGAAACTCCACAGTTGCTCGGATGCTTATCGTCTCCGGGCTGGCTAAGGCGCCATCTCTCCACGCACCCAGCCACCCGATGTCCGACCAACCTCTGCAGTCGCTTTCGACATCGAATGAGAAATATGCTGTATTGAGCACCGGCGCGCCACTCATCCCTCGGCAAACAGCTATTTGACACTTCACATACCCGGCATCCCACCAACAACCTACACGCTCGCGTAGCCCCGGCCACAACTCCAGAAATGCACCAAATTTCCCATCTCTGCCACGTTGTCCACGTGGGTAGACTTGCAGATCGAACATGAAATTGTTTGGCAAGCCGGCGCGACGGGATCTCAGAAACTGTCCGGGCACAGCGGCTTGAGCTTCACTGCGGGGGAGCGACATCTCAACCTCCTCTCGGCGGCCGCGGTGGTAAGGGACAATGCTCAATTTGGCACACAGATGGAGTTGTCCTTCATTCAGGCACTCCTCCAAATCGTCTAAGTATAGTACATCGTCCAGGCCTGCCCGTTGAGTCAATTCGGTGAGGCCGAACCATCCTACACGTGAGTGCGAAATAGGGCCTGTTTCGGAATAGAGCACTGCAACTTCAACACACACGTCTTCACAGGTCCACCTGCGATTCCCCATCGTCGCACTCGGCGGCAGAAGCAACTCAACATCAACACTGACACGTGGGTCCTGCACATGATGTGGGTCCTGCACGTGATTCGTGCTATGACCAGCTGGATAGACAAGCAGTCGAATTCCGACATCGTTCTTTGCCCGTTTCGAGTCAAAGACTGTTCTCTGACCGGGCTGGAATGTCCGCGGATCCGCCACAGTCATCCTGACTTCATCAGCCCAACCTTCAGGAATGCGGATGGCTGAGCTTTCCATGGCGCCTACCTGAGTCTACCTTCCCTAGCCACTCGAAAGGCCAACCCCGAGCCGAGCAGCTCTCTTGGCAGGGCCATTTATTTTCAATCGCGCCTCGGAGTCCACAGAGCCGATAGAAACCCCAAAGCGCCCACAAAACCTCCTTCAACCTCGCAAGCCCCCCGGCCCGAATCCAGCAAGAAAACATGTACTGTAGCATCATGGGAACCGTCCACCGACAAGAAAGATAATCCTAACGGCAACAGCAGCAGCAACACTGACAATGACCATAGTAAAGAAGGTAACAATCATAGTAGGCAGAAAAAGACGAGGTATTGGATAATATTAACATCATCATTCTGATCGTAACAGCAACAGCGTAACAGCTCACTTTAAAAAGTTCGGACAGACGGGCAGACTAGTCCCAGCCAGGCCAAGAGTACTAACACAATAATCCTGATGATTGTCACAGCCATGTAGACATGACCAGATTTGGGCAAGAGCAACACTTGATGTAGGAACAGTGGCAGTAAGCCGAAGAGCAATACAAGAAGCATCAACAATGATAAGATACAAGTCAGCCCGAGTATTAGACTGGGTGTCACTGTCGAACAACACCTACCTCAGTGTATGCTTCCCTGGTCTAGCTGCTTTCTTAACTGAGGCCAAACTGCCCACCTCCCCCCTCGAGTCCTTGAGCCCTCGAACAGGCTCAAGCCCTCAGGCCCTCAACTTCAACTTTTCAAACCCTCAAGTGCCATGCCTAAATCCCTCACCCAAACTTAAACCCTCGACCCTACGCCCCAAAACCCTGAAACTCTAGGCCCTCTAGGCCCTCAAGCCCTAAAGCCAAAAAAAGCTCTAAAGCCCCACAAAAGGCCAAAAAAAATCCTCAAACCTCGAGGCACGGCCGAGCCCTCGGCCCCCCGGGTCGAAGAGCCCGCGCCAGGCTCGAGGAGACGGAGCCGGAGCCGGTGCCAGCCTGGAAGGAGAGGTAGAGGGGTAGAGGGGGTTTGGGGGTTTTGGGGTTTTGGGGGTTTGGGGGTTTGGGGGTTTAGGGTTTTAGGGTTTTGGGGGTTTAGGGGTTTAGGGTTTTAGGGGGTTTTGGGGGTTTAGGGGTTTAGGGTTTTGGGGTTTAGGGGTTTAGGGGTTTAGGGTTTAGGGGTTTAGGGGTTTGGGGTTTGGGGATTTGGGGGTTTAGGGGTTTTGGGGGTTTGGGGGTTTAGGGGTTTACTAAGCGGGTTTCTTTAAGCGTAAAGTATAATTATAAAGATTACTTTAAGGGTTGAGGGTTAAGGGCTCCTAAGAGGGCTTCGTTTAGTAAAGTTATAAAGGTTACTTTAAGGGATATCAGAAGGATTCCTTTAAGGGTTGCAAAACCCGCTACGATTCAGGTGACTGCAAGCGTTGCACAGGGGCTGCCTTGCCTTTGCGGGAAGGAGGATTCCAGAAGTATTCTAGAGGGTTGTGATTTTATACGGGCTCTAAGAGGGTTTTAGGGGTCGAAAGCCCTGAACGCCCTGAACAGTCCGGCGGGCGCCTCGCAAATCACCCGCCCGGGTCGCGCATCTAGGAGGCAGCGCAGCCTGGGAAAAACGAAGAGGTTCACGGATCAGTGCAAGCATTGTCTAAACTGGAGCAACAGAATAACGATGGCTATGTGACCGGGGAATATAATGATAACAGCGATGCTAAAACAACTCATACTGGACGCGAAAGGCCACGATCCATGTCCAATGTTGAAGAATAGAAACAGTGACATCCACAATAACAGCACCAGGCTTGATGATAACAAAGTTGCCGTAGTCATGGCAGATGTTACGTGAATATAGTTGGCAAAAAGCTGAATAGTTTGCCAATACCAGGCAATGCAACCTCAATTTCAACTGCTAGTACAGGTGTACTTGTGATGACTAGCAGGAGCAGCAGGAGTAGTGGGAGTAGCGGTAACACGGGTCGTAGCTGGTGACATCACATTGAGGAAGAGAGACTACCGTAAACTCGGCACGGCGGCATTGAAATGTCCGCGTGGTACACGATCTGCCTGGCAGCAGGATCTGTATTAGTCGTTCAATTTGCGCAACAGCAGGCAGCACTCAAAAATCAGGCCATCAGAAACAAAGGAACGGAACGCACGCAGCACACCTCACACGACACGAGAGTAAATCCGTGCCGGCCCGACGTGCGGTGTGTGAGGCTCTGGGTGATGAACTCGGGGGTCGGCCGAAGCAAAGCCAGCCAGAGCCCGCCTGGACCCCATTTAGAGAACTTCAGGCATTGGCGTCTCTTGCACTGAAAGCCATCACCTTCAGCTGAAGATGCCTCGTCTGCCTGAAGACTCCGTTACACATGGCACAGCCGTCTATGCGACTCTCGAGCCTTTCCGTGCTCGGACTTTGCTCCCAAAAGGGCGCCCGATGATTTCATCGTGGTGGAAGTTGCCGAAGCCTCAGCCATCAAGGGATGCAACTGCATGGCGGCTCCCAGCGGAATGCGTCATTCATGACGTCGTATTAATCTGCAGGTTGGAATTCGTGGGCCCTTCGAAAAGCTCCTAATGTCATCGTATGGAATATCCTGCAAAACCATCTTGACAGCAATCTCGGAGGCTCCGGCGATTGTTGGTGATCTCCCCATGCTTGAGGACCACTCCGAAGACCTACCCATGAGGTGGAAATCAACCATGAACCTGCAGCACCCGGCAACCAACCTCTATCAGACTCTATCAAATATCTGTGGCTATGGCTTTTCGCCCCGCTCGTAACAGCTTAAGCATAACAGCACAGTCCCGAAGCTTGCCTTGCCTGCGTGTAGCTGCCCCAGAGGATGACGAAGTCACCCTCCTTGGTTCCTTTGGAACCGAGGCAGAGCCCCAAATCTGGACTTGAGTCCCCAAGACCCGAAGCAGGAAAGCCCTAGATTACCCTCATGATCCGGAGGCTTAGGTCTTAGGTGGTTCTCAACATGCGTCACAGCACAGCAAACTTTGGTCCCCCCACCTTCGGGCGCCGATTCTGCTGCAACCGCCTGCCTGTAGCTTCTGTGGGTTGAGGGGCTCTTGCTGATTATGTTCCTGTTTGTTTCGTGCCAGAATGAAGAAGCGTTGAACAGATCTGTAGTCAGTTGCTGGGCGCGCCAGTAAGATCAGTCAACCCAGTGTCGCTCGGCAAAAAAACAGCCGCCTGCTTTAGACCTGGGCTTCGGCTTGGTCAGCTGTTTCCGCTGGGCCACAGCCTTCCCAAAACCCCGGGCTCCCGTTCGCTTGCGAAATCGAGCGGCGTCTCCATCAGCTAGCAGCAGCTAGCAGCAGCTAGCAGCAGCTGGCAGCAGCTAACACGCCATGCCGACATGGCCAGGGCACCCGAAGAACATCGATGGAAAGAGCCTGACAGGTCTCGAGGTCTGGGAGGTCTACGCCTACGTGGCTGCTGCTAAACTTCACAGGCCAAAGCTGCAAGAGGGGAAAGCCCTGAACCCTTGTTTCTTGCTATGGCACGCTTTTTGCTTGCAATCGGATTAAGCAGCGTACCAAGGCTTGGCGCAATGTGAACATCTGAATCTGAGCCGGAGCTGTGCAGCGTGCAGAAACTCCACGAAGCCCGAAGCCGAAGGATGGCAGATGGCGGAGGCCCAGCAGAGAATCCTCGAGCCCAGTCTTCAGCCAAACATGTTGGAATTCTGGAAGCCAGCTAAAAATATCCAGCAGGAGCGACATTATGGTGAGTCTGACTCAGAAACCACAGCCCTCGTCGTTTGTTTTCACACCGAACATACCGAAACGCCAGTTTCGGATGCATTGCTGAGATGCGCACAGCAACATGACATAGGCGACCAAACGACATTGACACTCTGTGTTTGTGTAAGCCTGCTGATCCCGCTACTGCGAGTACGACTCTCTCGCTCTCTCTCTCGTCTTGCGCACGTACGTAGGTATGTTTACTGCTACTGCTACTACTACTACTACTACTACTACTACTACTACTACTACTACTACTACTACTACTACTCCTACTGCACTATAACAGCAAAAGCAGGACAGGAGGGGAGAGAGACAGAGAGAGCGCGAGAGCGAGAGCAGGAGAGGGAGAGAGGGGGTCTGAGAGACAGACAGACAGGCAAGCAGGCAGGCAGACAGACAGACCAGAGAGAGAGAGCGAGAGAGAGAGAGAGAGAGAGAGCGAGCGAGAGACAAGGAGAGAGATGGGGAGGACAGAGACAGAGAGGAAGATGTAGTCGGGCGGTGGCGGCACCCTGCGGCCAGGCCAGCGCTTTCGGCCTTTTCCCAGGGCGTCGGCCTCTCTCCGAAAGTTGAACAAGAGCTGTTGCTGTGCCGGCTTCCGGTTTCTGGACGGTTACAGGTTAGGGGCTGTCTTTGCGGCAACCTTGCCTGGCCAACTGCTAGCAGCATGCACAGCAAATCCTACTAGTACGTACGTGGACCTCCTAAGCACTCGAGCTGGGACTCGCCACAAGTCCTAGAACCTTAGAACCTGAACGCGAACAAGCCTGTTCCACAAACATAAGCCGAAGCTAGAACGGCCCCGAGATCTGGAAGAATCGGGCTGCGGCCTCTTCTTTGGATACGCGTCGTGCAGATGCTTCTCTTTGGCGCTGGGGCCGTAGCCCTGCAGGCTATCTCAGCAGTTTTGCACCCGAGGAGTTTCGGGCATACCACAGGTCTGGAACGAGGCTGAAGTCGCTGAATGAGTGCAAAGGAAAGGGGACTCCTGACTCCAAGAAGAATCTATGAGCGAACCCTTTGATGTACTAGCGATAGCAACAGTGGTCGTAAAGAAAGTGAGAGGACCTCAATCATTAATGCCTTGCCATCGATGATGTCGTAGCCGCGTCGGCGCTGCTCCTGCCAAAGCATACAAGTATATATGTGTGTTGCAGTGTAGGGTTCAGCCTGTGCGTGTTTGGACCTCAACATGCTCCACTACGACTTACTCTTACACTCCTGCTTCCACTTCTGCTGCGACTACTACTGCTAATACTACTACTACCACCACCACCACCACTACTACTACTACTACTACTACTACTACTACGACTACTACGACTACTACGACTACTACGACTACTACGACTACTGCGACACTACTACTTCTACTATTACTACTACTACTACGACGACTACTACTGCTACTACTACTAATACGACGACGACTACTGCTACTACTACTACTACTACTACTACTACCCACTACTGCGACTGCTACTAGTACAACTACCACCACCAGTACTCCTGCTTCTCCTACTACCACTGCTGCTACCACTATATTGCAACACGCTTTCTAGCTTCTGTCAAGGATCATAGCAGCCTTAACGTTAGAAAACATCATTCGTCTTTCTTGGACGGCCTACGCAGCTCTTGGGGAGTAAAGCGAGCGACTGGAGTCCGGCTCGGGAAAAAGATCCAGCAAACAAACACGCAAACACCCTCAAAGCCTTGTGATCCTTACCCCGTACTCTCGAACCCCCAAATACAACGACCCCAAAGCTTTAAAGCTGTCCAAGCAAGCCGTTGTCTTTGGAATGGACCATCACACTGGCACTCATCCCAGAACTGCATAAGGTTTCACGTAACGTGAGAGATCTGATCTCCTCATATCTCTCTGGCGCCACGCGGTTCAGCTGGCGGACCTCGCAGAGGATCGCAAGCCCTCAAAGCAGTCTGTTCTATTTCTGCAAGATGGTTTACATGGTTCGGTTCTTCTTGATAGGATTTCATAGGTCTCTGACACACCTCCCAAGCTTCAGTCAATGCCAATCTTGTCTTATGCGGCCTCGTGTACTAATATTCGCCCTCGGCTTTGACTCCACACCTTCACCTCTGGAGTTTCTCGAGCCTCTGGGCCCAAGCCCGCAAATCCCAAGCCCAAGCCTCGCGGATGTGGTCACCTTTGATGTCCTGCCAGGCTGCCACACGAATGCAAGAAAGGGAACTGCCACTGCACCCGCTACACTGCTACACCCTGCACATGCAACAGAACAATGCCCAACCGATGCATGACAGCACAAGAGATAACTCGGACGCTGCAGACAGCCATCGCTCACATGTTTGTGCTGGCAGCGGGCCCGAGCGTGGAAGTTGTGATCGATGATGTGTCGATTCCTGGCGGGCGGATGCGGACAATAGTCCTAGACACCGGGAGTGGCCCTGCTCCCGTCCGCAGGAGACTCTTTCTGAGGTTATCAGACCTATACGAAGGGCTTGAGGTCGAAATTCTGGAGACGAACCGATCTCCAAACTCGCCAGGCCACTTGTACCGGTCCGTGCGCTCTTTTTGCAAGGTGTCGAAGAGATGGAGCATGTCGGAGTCGTAGGTCTGTGGGACAGGATTGACATGCTGCGGGCTCCGCGCGTCACACGGCTGACATGTTACACGTACAAGCACGATCTTTTCCCCCGGCACGCGCTGTGGGGTGCAACTTGCCCGAACGGCCCAGCTCTTCTGACGTAGTTGGCTTGCCGTATACTGCAACAAGTTGCCCGAACGGCCAACGTCGCAAGTGCGCCCGGTGAACTTGGTGCCCGCCAGCTTCAGGCATATTTCCCTAAACCTCCCCTTCGACCACCACGCACAGCCTGGGGCAGTGCCCGCCTAGCCTCAGTAGTAGCCGACGAGCACGAGTTTGCCCTCAAAGTCGAAGACAAAGGCATTTGGGGAGGAGAACAAGCCATTCGAAAGGGTGAGGACTTTGGTAGTCCTAGAATCCATCTGCCTCGGCGAGAGCGCTTGAAGTGTTCTACGGCCTTCAGCGCTCTACTGAATACTGACGGGGCCTCATCAGAGCCACCAGGTCCCGCAAGCGCAGCTCATCCAGCTCGTCGATAACTCTGTCATTCCAGGCCTCGGATTCAGTGCCTTCTGGAATGCGCTTCTTGCAGGCTGGGGGATTCTGCCCCGTTTGGTTCCTTGCTTCTCGCAGGTTCGAGGCTGAGGGGCCCGGCCTGTCGAATCAAGAAACCTCCACGAACATGGCCAGGCCAACCAGCCGGGAGCAATTCAGAAATCTTCAAAGGCTCGAAGGGCCTAACCCGATTCTTCACATCTGCCTCCCTCGACCGATGGAAGCCTGAGGCCCGAGAACGAAAGTCTGGAAATCCACAAATTTGATCTTCGGATGGCAACCAAAAAGCAGAAGGCACACGACAAACCACAAAGAAACCCTCCAAGAAGTACCCAAACGCCGGAAGCAACCTCCGCCAGCACACATGGAGCTTGGCACAGTCCGTCCCTAGCTGTTCTTCCGCTCCTGGGATCGTCGAGGGGCTTGATGTCCAGTTCATTCAGGCTTGGATTGGGAGCGAACCGAACCCGTGACCGGAATTCTTCATACCTACCTCGGCAGCGTACACACTTGCACCAGGCTCCGCGAAAGCGCACGATGCGATCTATGTAGGTTGAGCCCTTCGCCTTCAATGCTCAAGCTTCAAGACTTCGTTCCTCAACCGGCTTGTGGTCGCAGATGAGACACGATCGCTGTCCGCCGCCAATGCCTTGTCCAATGACCACTGATCAAAACGGCGCACCTGGGCTGTCGTATGAGAGTCTCAGGCCCTCGGACGGATGTTGGGATTGAGATGGCACATTTTTCCCTGCGCAACATCCCCCAACTAGGAGCCTGCGCCCGGTGCTCGAACCCTGGGGACTGCCAAGCCGACGCATCGATGGAACCCTTACAGCAGCAAGCACTAAGTCCACAAGCAAACCTTGTGCTGTGCTTGAGATTTCGCGAACTAGCTCAAGGGTCCCAGCGCAAAAGTTCAAAGTTTAGAAGCATCGTCCCAGGCGCTCTCTCCTTGAGCTTCCGTCGAACCCGGGAACCGCCATCGTGCCTTTGCGGGCTACGAGATGCTACGAGCCACTGTCCGTTGCCTGGCACGGTAGCTACTCAGCTATCCCTCACGGGCTTTCACAAACACAGTATCCGACAGAACCGAGCCCTTGCTCTCGAAAGCCTTCCAGGGCACAGAACAGACTCAAGTCAGCTCGGGCACACCGCCGTGATCTCAAGAGAGGCGCCCAGCCGCCCCTCCGCCAGTTGCCCCCTGATGGCTTTGAGACTTCGATACACGGCTCAGTTTAGAGCACAGCAATCCCAAGCAGCACTCTACAAACTAGCTGGTCGCGTCCCAGCCAAACACGCTTGGAGACAGGCGTCAAGCTCGTTGCATCCGTCAGCTCCTCGTCCCCCACGAAGAAGCTCGTGAATTCCGGGTCCTGGGATTCAGGCATCCGACTCAAGACCAACATGCCAGCTTGCCCTCCGAACTCCGGAAACGTCCCACTTGGAGTTCGGCAGTTGGCCGGTGAACAAGCTCCGCCGCTAGCATCCGCGGGCAATTGCAAGCAACCAACCACCCAGATAGTTCGCGTGCACTTCAGGAAGAGCGCCTTTCCCGGGCCCTCCCATCCTCCTGTTTGCAACTGCCTCGCACCATCAACCTGCACGGAGAAACCCGCCAGCTCGAGCCCCGAACCTATAAAGCAAAGCCAGGCTTCCAAGGAGGGCGGCGATCGTCGCTCTCTCAGGAGCTGCCGCAGTTCCGCGGCCGTACTCTCAGAGCCGAGGCGGCAGTCGTAGAGGAGGTTTCCACCTTGCAGGGCCCGGACCCGGACTCGCCCCCCCGTTCTCTCCGTTTCTCTCTTCATCTCCTCCTGCAGGCCCCCAGGCGAAACCCCCTCCCGCATCGGCATGGGCCTGCCGAGCGCAGCTCCAACGCCAACAGGGCCTCGTCCCTCTGCTCCGCGGAGCGCATCCTTGCGGAGGCGTGGCGGCGCGCGTGCCAACAGACACGATAGTATTGCCGAAGTGTCTTGGGATTGATGACTTGGTCAGCAGGGTCTCCAGCCAAATGGTTTGCCTACTGATTGAGGGAGCCGGCCAAGACATCGGCATCCGACCTGTCTCCCTTAAGCAGCTCCTGCTCACCATGCTTATTTATGAAGTGAGCAGGAGAGATAGAAGGCAAGGCTAGGATGCAGCATTCGAAGTCCGACGGCTGCCCCGAGCTTTTGGAACTTGTCTCTGAAGATCGGGCAAGATTCCGACATTTAGCAAGATTTGGCTGTACATCCCAAACACCGACTTCAAGACATGGATCTTCCCGTGAAGGGCCCGAAAGGTCCTGACTCGAAGCAAGTGCTTCTAAGAGGCTCAAGGCCCAAAGGCAGCTAGTGCTCAATCTCCAGGTCGACCAGCAGTTTTTCCCAGGGCCATGAGCCGCTTTAAGCAGCCGACAGCTGTGCTTAGCCTAGTCTAGTGCCCTGTACCGAACAAACACGTCGAGGCATCAGGGTGGGCACGGAAGTCCAGCGCTTTGGTTTTGGGATTGCCCCTTTGCTGGCTACTGCTTCTCCGAGTATTCATAGACTGGCAGCCGAAACTGACGGGATTGCCCGGCTCGACGCCGACCAGAATAGCAGAAAAATCAGCACCACGCTGCTAAGACTCTCTATGATCGGTCAACGGTAGGTCTGAAACCCTGAAGCCCACACCCACTACGCAGGAAGGCTCCAAAAAAATCCCAAGCCAGCAAAGCACCGTGCCACTCCACAATCCCTATCAACCCGATTCAACAGTTTCGGATTGGGTTCTGGATTCAACAAGCTTAGGCAAAAGGGGTTCAAGACTGAGGTTTCGAACTCCAAACGTTAGACCCTGTTGCCCAACCTCGTGCGAAACTATGCCGTAAGCGGCGGTCTCGCGGCCCTGGCACACGGGAGCTGCGGAGTCAGGCAAGGAGGAATGTGTCGACGCCCAATGGCAGTAACACTTCCTCAAAAAAACATCACAAGAAGCGTAAGTTCCGTTTTTCTCATGCAGCCATCGGACTCGCGGCTCTTATTGACAATGACAACAGCAACTAAATAGTCACTACAGCCTCGAAAGCAGTACTTACATGACTGCTTCGGCAAGATTTACGACCCAATGAGAAACTCAAAAAAACTGCTGATCATGAGAAGATTGTTTAGTGATAACCGCGATGAAACAGCTTCGTTATGATGAGGAGCCGAGTATGACAACGATGTCCAGTCGCAGAACCATCAGATTCTGGCAATCATGATTTCTGACAGTGATGGTCAAGGTACAACAAGGATAGCCATTAGGAGTCCAGTAACAGCGTTCATAGCAGTGACGCTAGTTCTCATACTCGAAGCATAAGAAGTCTGGAGCACGATGAATATTCCGAGCAATATACTCATCCTAACACTCCCAGCAATCTCGAGATTTCACATGAGGAAAGCCGTAAGTGCGGAGCTTCCAAGTTGGTGCTTCAGAGCTTCAACATGCTGGGTTCGGGATCCGGGCTGTAGCTGAGTAAAGCTGACGACGCGTAGGAAGCTCAGCGGTTCAAGGGTTAAGGGCTAGTGCGGCTAGGGGCCAGCGGGCTGATTGCAGCTTGCGAGGGTGCCTTGTAGGAGGGAGGGACCTTGGCGTTCCCGCGCATGACGATCTCCACCTGTGAGAAGCAGCCGTTTCTGCAACCTCTTCCGCCGGCCAACCCTCGCCAAACCTCCCTGGTGTCGTCGATGCTCTTCAGCCGCTCCTCTCTGTAGGGGTCGATGAACTTCCCCACGAGCTTGGCAGCGAGTGCGAAATGGGCTTGGGGGCGTTTCTGCGAGTTGGGGGTCGAAGCTCATGCCGTTGTCAAGATCGATCATGCAAAGCTCCAAAGCTTCATGAATGTTTGCAGCACAGGTGCACACCAAACTCGCATCGGCCTGCATCTGCTCTGCAGACCGCCGTCATTGACTGAGATCCGGGCAGGGTCGTAAGCATTCCGCGCCATGTGCTTGTCTGTAGCCTGCACGCCAACCAATACAAGAGATTTCGCACCTACTTTTAAAAGAGTGTCGACTTTCGGATGGACAGCTGCACCCGGCTCGTCTGGAACCCTCTTTGAATATGAAACCCTGCAGGGCTTCTTGTGCACTTTGGCTCACATTAACAGCGGCCAGGGGCTGCACAGCTTTCGCACAGCCCTGACACAGGATGATCCACCCGAGGGCCACCGATGGCCCGCATGTTGGGCGGTCTGCGAAGGAAGCAAAGCAGAAGGGCTCTCTCGCTGTGTGAGTTTCTGGGCTCCCCCTTCGCATTCCAGCCGATTGAAACGGGCAACCAGTCTTAAAACAGGCAGGCCTACCTCGCCCAGGATGGGCACGTTTGACAGTTGACCACTGCTGCCGCTCGAAGATGATTGGATCTGGAGTATCTGGAGTAACTAACCTGAGTCTGCCCTGGTCAACTGCCGACTAAACATTGGCTGAACGTCTTGAGGCCAAGCCTGCGGCACGCTATGCTTTAGCAGACATCTGTGTGGAAGCTGGCACGTAAAGTTCCTGCTTCCATGTTCTCTGTCATGGGCTTCGAGTCAGGAGTTCAGCTCAAAGCTTACAATCTCGATTACATGCTCACACCAGTCCCGATGCCGGACCTGCGCCGTCTTCAGTTGTAGTAGGTCATACTACTTTCCTCAAAAAAAGTATAGTAATCGCAGTAGTAGTCGTAGGCAGTCGTCGTCGTAGTAGTAAGAGTAGCACTAGTAGTAGTACTAGTAGTAGTAGTCGTCGTCGTCGTAGTCGCAGTCCATGGATCCGAAATCAACAGCTGAGGCCTATGCGCTGGAAGCAGATGCACCTCGGCATGAAGTGGGGGCTTAGCGTTGTCTTTGAATGTGGTTGTGTGCTGTTTTTTGGAACGGTTTCCAGCCGAAAGGCCACGGTCGTCCATTCGGGCTTACCGTTGTTCGGGTTCGGTGTTCTTTTGTCTTTTGATCGTTCGAAGCAGTGCCCAGCTAGAACCCCATGCTGGCTAGGTAAACAGAGACGATCCAGAATCCGCATGGTCGCCTCGAACAACTACAGACACAAACACACACACACACACACACACCCACACACACCTACCTACCTACCTACCTACCTACCTACACCTGGGCTGGATCTCAGTAGCTTCTTAGTTTCGAGTACTCAAGTGAGCAGCCCACCCGCCACGGATCCACCCTAGGCTGGTGTGCTTCGGCTCAAGTCTAGCCAGATAGATTTCAGTACAACGTCAGCACAGAACCCATAACGGGAGTGTTGCAAGCGACACAAACAAAGTCACAAAGCTGTTGGGTTCACTCGCACAGGGTTGTGCGATGCTCCGGCAATCACGTCAGAACATCCAGTGAGGAACCCCAATGGCCCAAAGTTAATACCAGTTCCCATCCTTCGTACAGCCCTGCTGGGAGGTTAGTCGTCAGTCACCACCGCCGTTCTGAGGTCAGGGTCTGAAGGTTCCCGTTTAGGTTCCAGGATCGTGCGGTTGATGTTAAATGACAGCTCCAGAAAACCTATCTTCGGCAACTGCCTGTTGGAGCTCGTCACTCTCCAGAGTTGTTACTTGGCCTCCTTGACGATAGGATTCGTCCAAACTTCAAGGGGCTGCCAGCTCGTTCAGAATAGTATCTGGGTTCGAAGAGTGCCTCGAAGTCTGCCGCTCGTGACACCGACACCCTTGCCCATGAATTTCCCCAATCGTTCCCGAAAGGAGTGTCTCAGGCCGCGGCCGACTGTGAGGGCTGCATCGCGCGAACGAGCTCCTCAAAGGAGGAGCACTGCTCGGGCCGTTGGGGGCCCCGGGAGGCCAGGGGCCATTGCAAGGGGACCGACGCCTCGATGCTCATCCAGTCGCCACCGGCCCTGGCCTCCAATTCCCCGGTCCTGGCACCAAGCAGATACGAGTAGCACCACTCTCTCGGGATCGGGGGACGGAGGCAGCAGAAAGCTTCCCGGTCCTGGGGCTTAGCCGTACCGACACCCGCTGGGTCCCGAAAAGGTAGCTGCCGGGGCCCAACCGGCAGAAGAGCGCCTGGGACGAATCTAATTGACCAGCCCCTCGGAACTTCGCTGCGCCTCATCTCAACGGGGCTTGGGGATATGAGGGATAGCAAGGGTCTATTCCGCTAAAAAGGGTGGTTGGTGGTTGCTTGTCGAGCTTCACAGCCGCAGCCAGAAACGAATCCGTCGAACGTGAAGAGGGAAAGCCTGAAGTGCCTGAAGCTTCTGGAACCCAATGCTGACGAGCAGGAATCCGCAAGGCCACACCTTGCTGGCGCTGTTCTTCGGCTGGTTGGCGAAGCCCGCGACCTCTTCACAAAACAGGCTGCAGGGGGGTCAGCGCTCAGCATCAAAAGACAGTTAGGGCGACGACGATCACCACCACAGAACCACCACGGCCATCACCAATCAACAATGCCCACATCACCACTGCAGACTCTCAGCGCTTTCCGCTTTCTCTTTTGCCACCACTGCGTGGTTTCCTCCGTCCCTGCTCGAGGGCTGCCCTGCCTTTTCGTCGATGGGATCCTCCGGGTGCGGCCTCAGGCATCGGCCATTGGGACCAGGCTGCCGAAGACTGAGCATTGTCGCTGCTTTCAGACAAAACTGCGCGGCGTCTTCGAGGATGTTGAGAAGCAGATTCCGGAAAGTGGCAAGCTGCAAGCAGCTGGTAGCGCCCGGGCCCCGGCCTGTAAGCTTCCGCCAGAAGGACGGTCTCGATGGCGGCAGTCGGCAGGTTTATCGAACTGGGGCCTCACGACAAGCAGAGCAGCCTGCGGTAGCTGCGATAGCCTGCGAAGCTCCCCATGCACAGCCTCGGCTTTACAAGTAGCAGCTACACGGCCTGTCTCAGAAAAGCCACAACAGTGAAGGCACAGATAGCTGCCTCGCTGGCCCGCCGTGGCTGTGGGTTCTCTGGGACCACTGAAGGACCTCGCAGCGCGGCGGCTCAGACAGGGACCGGAGACTTCTAAAGCAACGTGCTTCAACTTGGGTCTACAGCAGTATTGTGATTGCAATCCTTTCGTGACAGCTTCTTGCCCGAGACCCCACTGTTTTCACCGCACCTGCAAACCCCTTGCTCGGAGATGGGCGCAGGCTGTGCCGAATGCGACGGAAGCGCTGATCTCGGCAGGAGAAGGTCGAACGGCACTTAGGGTCTTTGCGATGAACTCTGCAGCTCGGTCAATTAGTCGTATGGATTCTGACGGCACGCTTCGAGGACTCAGAGAGTCGGGGTTGTACTCTCCGAAGGACGTCCAAGAAGCCGAAGCACAAAGCTCCCAGCAAGCACTTTACAGCCCTTCAGCTCCAAACCCAGATGTCTCAAACCCGTCAGACACTAATCCGGATCTTCGCACGAAACTTATATGGATGGCAAAAGCGCTGTTGAGATGCTGAGTGCATTCCCGAAAGAGCCCAAGAGTATCTCGTTGCCATTATCCTGATGACCCTTCTTATGACCCAAACTACGCCTCATCATCATGTATCATCATCGCAGGTCTCGGTGCCATTTATCTGCTTCCTCTGTCAACTCTCCAACACCGGGAGCCCACGCTCCCCGGGTGGCACAAGCGGCTGAGGAATGCGGGCACCCGGCACCTGGCACTCCCGGACCAGAAAGCGAGGACGGTTGCAAGACTAGCAGCGATGACCAAGATGATCATGAACAAGCGATCTGACAGAGAAAACCCGAGGGATTCCTCAGAAGCGTAGAGGACGCTCAGTATCAAGACTCATAAAGTCAGGCCGCTGCAGCATTTGCAACAGAACGACATGAGCGGTAGGTACGACGGCCTCTTGTAAGTGCAGCAGTAGCATTTGCAGAAGAAGTTGTTGGCTGATTCATTCCGAAGCCTTGAACGGCATCTTTCTTACACCTCACTTGCCGGCCTTGCTGATCAGGCTGCCGGGCGTAGTGCCTCTTGCGCACAAGGACAATGAGCTCAATCTCGGTTTCCCCTTCCCCACCTACGCTCTTTTCTCCATCCTTCGAAAGACCGAAGAGAAAGACTCTCATGAGGCAAATCGGACGAAGCGAGTGATTCCATCACATTCCATCCCGGGAGAGTCTTCGCTTGGCTCAAGGACTTGAGAGCCGACCTCCGGAGGGCGATGGCGAGCGCATCGCTGCTTCCTCAGCGATAGTAACTGCTCTGGGCGGAACCTTCAAACTGCGACAAGGTCTGGGACCCATAAAAACCCTGAGCCCAGACGGTCAAAAGACGAAACCTCATGCGACAGCCTCTACAGTCACAACTCTTCCCATCAGAGCGCCGCATCCCGGAGCAGCCGCAAGCCGACGGACTGCGCCGTCGGTGCTTCCCTGCGGGGCACTGGGCCGGGCCCCTGCGTCCCTGGGCTCCGGCCCTGACCAAACTGCTCGCAGCAAAGAAAGCGACTGCCAGAGCCATCGCCTCTCGCGCGCGAGCAGCCCGGAGCCCAGCAGCTCCTGCAAAGATCTCGCCCATCGAAAGGGCAACGAATCGGGTTCACGGGACGAGGTTTAAAGAGATTCGTAGGTACTCTCTCCCTTCAGCTTTCAAACTTTCGCTGTTATGCCGCTCTCCGCAGGGGCAAGGCAGACTCGCTCTGCATGCGCAAGAAGCCATACTGCAACAATAACTCTGCATGACTCGCCATAGCTGCACGCAAGGCTCCTCGATTTGGTATGCATGGAGCTTTGTTTCACTGGCATGGACCTCGCCCGGAGCACGGCGCCAGCAAAAGCAGATAAGCACGAGGGATGTGCTCCGATCAGGACAATGCCGAGGCCTGACGAACCCTAATTACCTTTCTAACTTGCTCATGACATGTTCACGGGCTGAACTTTAACACTGTAGATGAACCGTCAGAAAGTTGAGAAACATAATCTCCTGAGAGCATGCAACAAATAACCCAGACCCTGCTGAACGGCATACTTTCATTCATTGAGTTGTACGAGTACAATGATTTGACTTGTCAGCTATATACTGGTACAAGTACATGTCGCGCCTGATCTGTCATGTCGTGGATTATCCGGTCCTGATCCGCGGCATGAGGCCAGTCCCAGCAGCACCGACTGAATCGTCCGCAGAACTCCCAACCAACCACCGAGGTATCAAAGACGTTTCTGCATAAACCCGGCAGGCCTTGAAGGTGTTGCTGCTGGCCATCCCTCGCAAGGCTGCGTCCGCCTGCGCCAGGCGCGATCGTAGATCGGCCACCTGTTCGGCTTGCAGTTGGGTCCCAAGGGGTGATCCTGTCTGCTTGAGGCTCAGGGAATTCAAGCATCGAAAGGCAAAGAATGCGGGATGAGACAGACCCGCTACAGACCCCGCTTGGTCCCCAATGCCCAACTCTCTTTTTCATGTTGGTCTACACAGCATTAGGGAACCGACCTGCTGCTGCAGTTCTGCAGCAGATGTTTCATGACGGCGGCTGATCACCTGACAGTGTGAGCAGTCACAGTGCAAACCAAAAGACAAATCAAGAACGGATCGTGAGGCACACGAGTCTATGCCGCAGCGAAGATGTCTACTGCCGCTGCTGCCCACATCAACAATCCAAGTGACACGTTCCCGAGGTCAAGAGAATGTATTTTGCACCCAAGGAACCTGTTGCTTCATGAAGCGGCGGTCGCGCTCCGCGATCTCCTCCTGCCGACAAGAGAGCTCTGAGTGTATGGGCGAACGGACCTCAGGGCCAACTACGGCTAAGGATGCGGCTCGTACCGTTGCAGCTGCGGCTGCGGCTTCGCTTCACTTGAAGGACGCCAACTGAAGTGGTTGGATCAGGAACAAAGAACAAAGCATGCCCCAATCAGCCGAAGAGTAGAGCCCAGAGTGTCCCTCAGCTCAATGGCCCTGAACCACACATCCAGATTCACGGCTGCGGTCGGGCATCGTGAGTCTCCTGGAGGTCCTGAACGACCTGCTGTGCAGTGCGGCCTGGGCAGCAGCGAGTTGTAAAACAAACTGCGAGCACTGGGTCCGGTCACAACAATGCGAACATCACGGTCCTTAGCCCATCCTACCTTTCTACCAGACTTGCAAACCACTCTTTGCTTCTCCGGGGCAGTCGTGCTGCCACGCGCCCATCTCCTCCTGACACCGCCAGGGTGGGCGGTAGTTAGTATCAGACTTTGCTTACGGACATTTCTTTCCCACTTGCAAAGCATCGTAGAAACCCGAACAAGTAGGGTATAGAGCCTAGAAAGCTTCGGGCCGTAAGGGGTGGCTGGAGCCGGCCTGGACCTTTGCCAGCTTGGAGGTGGCGGCCTGTGCCATCGCTCGGCCTTCGCGGTGGGTCCGCTCCACCTGGCGAACGCGGTCTGGAGAAGTCAAGGGGCAAAATGCATGGAAGGGAAGATGGGAAATCCGGAGTTCACGTCCCTGGAATCTGAAATTGGAGTTCCTACTGAGCAAACCGCTTGCTGCGGTTTGCGACTGGATTTGGGGCGGGAGATTGCATCAGTAAGATTAAACACAGAGCTTTGCATCCTACGATTTTAGAGGAATGAGAGGGGCATGCCTACGATGAGAGCAAACGAATCCGAATCCGGCCCGCCACAGAGGCTGGCTAGTCCACACTTCGGTTCAAAGACCCGAAGGAGACGGAACCTGTGAAGCGACGAAGCGAGGGAGCCCTCTTCACCTGCTCCTCAAGCTCGATGATGCGCTTCATCTTGCTGGAAAGGTTTGCAGCGAGCTCCTGTGGCCCAAGGAGACATCGATGGTCGTGGAAGCTACATCTACAGGCTCTTACGGGAGGATTGTGCTTGCAGTATGAAAGGTATTCTGGCGAGCTAGGTATTGGAAGAGAACGCCAAGCATGCGGAAGCTCCACAGCCCTTCGCCTTCGACCTACGCAAATTGTTGCAACGAGTGGGTTCTGGCCGCATCCTCGGGAGTCCCCCCAAGGCTCCTTGACTTCCCGGCGCTTCTCGGTGATGCTGCCCTGCGCCTCCTGTCAACAGGGGCAGCCTGGAACACGAAGCACTTGGAAGCTCGAATGGACCTCTCCTGGAGCTGGACCTGTAGATCGTCCACCTGGCCCCGGAGCTCCTTGCTTCAGCGGCAGGGAATGACAGAGGAACGAGGACAACGTGTGGTCGGCTTCGACTGGGGACGCTACAAGTTAGGCTCTCACATGCTGTCAATCAAACGTTTGCCTGCTACATGGACACGGAAGGAGTTACCAGCTTCAATCAGGGCACACAGTAAACATCTTCCAAGGCGGAATAGGTTCGCAACCCAAGAACAGGGTGGTAGGATTGAGATTCCAATTACAAGTATTTTACCTGTGGCACTTGTGGAGCCCATACTGAACCGCAAAAATCACGCGATATGGACAAATCCCTGGGCTCTCGGATGAGCACACTCCCAAGCTCTCCCGCCTCGTTCTCCCGCGCCAAAGTTGAAGCGTCTTGCTTCATGCGCAGAGAGTCGTGGAACATCTGGATGGCCTGCAACATACCGACACTTCATGAGAACCAAGTGATGTGTATGAGTATGAGGATGATGAGTATGAGGTTGAGGAGGATGAAGATCACGAAAAGAGTCAGAGGAGGAGGAGGATCATCAGGACAGACGATGAAGGTGGTGGCGGCGTCGCCGACTATCATCACAACTGCAGCGCGATTCGACCACGACAAACTGGAACATCATCACCACACCATCATCAAAGCGATCATCACCACCAGCCCCGGCGTCTGCATCATCACTGTCAGCTTCATATTCAAAACGGCAAGAGCAGCAATGAGTACTGGCGGCGGTACTAGAAGCGCAAATAGTGAGCATGGCGCCCGACGTTGCAGCACAAGCATTGTCGTCGCATTGGTAGCAGAATAAGGAGTACGATGGCAGGAGCGTTGAAGTTCGTTTTTACTGCACACCAAAACAACGACAACCGTGCTGCTACTGTGACGACAACAATGACATCAGTTGTGAATTATGTAAAACATGTGAAGACCTATCGTCAACATAGAATTGATTCTCAGCGGCATCATCGTCATCGTCGAACCATCATTATCATCATCATCGTCATCATCGTCATCATCATCACCATTAACAACATCAACAACAACCACAACAACAACCCCCCTGGGCGGAATGAAAGCAAGGTTTTCAGTCCCTGGGAGGGGCTTCGGGTCAGGGCTTAGAGGTTTAGGGTGAAGGGAAGAATCGCATCCCCATATAGTCCCTCTAGAAGAGTATAACATAGGGCTTCAAATTTAAAACCCATCAACTAGCAACCGTTCGAAGATGTTCGAAGCTTTCGGGCTTGAGGCCGGCTTGGCGCCTGTGCTCCGAGCTGCAGCGCGGAGGCATCTGCCATCTGGGGGTCCACCGCCTCGAGGCTGCTTGGGAAATCGACGCTTCAGCCGCTTCAGCTTCAGACGGAGGCTTGCGGTTCAAGACACCGATTTGGAGCCACCAAACAAGCACATCACAGCTTCAGTTGAGCATGAAGTACCATGGTTCAAGCCTCGACTGGCTTCAGAAGACGAACAAAGGTCCGAAGCCTCAGTACGACCCCAACCAGCTGTCTGTGCCTGGACTGCTGCCAACTGCTTCTCCTTCGCCAGGAGAAGCTGTTCCACTTGCGCCTGATGGCGACAGAGCTCAGGGATTTGAGTTTTCTGGGCCTTCAACTACAATTGGATCGTTGTTTCCACAAACTATAGGACATGATCAACGCCGGAGTCTCCTCGGAAGGGGTTCTTTTAAAGATGTGGCTTCGGGCAATCATCGCGAAGCTTGGATGCTTCTTTTCCCTCTTTCTTATTCGACATCCGTGTCTATGGCGTGTCGAAGACCCTCCAAAACGTAGGACCTATATGAAGTTACTTCGAGTGTCCACCACAACTCCTCCCTGTGATCTGCCAACCGTGACTCTTCCCCCGAAGCGTACTTCGTGATAGGAGCCTTCACGATCGAAAGCATTACACAAGACGAGTGAAGTTGGTGACCCCTGGGCAATAGCACGCTGCAGAGTAAAGTTTTGTCCAAGCGGTCCATGCAATAGCGAGCTCCCGACTCTGATCCCGTCAGAACTTTCTTAACTGCGTGAATGCGTCCTGCAACCGCTACCCTCGGCATAGACCCACGTAACTCCACGTGCCCAATTTACAGCAATGCTCTGGCTGTAATGTGTCGCAAGCCATCGCCTTTTCAGACCGTAGATCCTCAAGCTTCTGATGCACCTGCCGATGGATCTCTCCCTAACTCAGGGCTTGTTGAAGTGCTGGCGTTGGACAGTCGCGCCTGCTTTGAGCCCGTCAGCTTCTGCATCTCCCGGACCTGTCGGGGCACAACGAACGAACAACCTGTAGTTGCCGCTGTTGCGACCATGGAACCGCCGAAGAGCTTCTGCAGTCGGGTTTGATTCGTTCGGACCCTTTGCGAGGCAGGGCGGGGGCCTCTGAGAACTTTTCCAACGTTACAGCGATGCCAACAATATTTAGTAATCCTCGGCGCAGACCGGCAGAGTAGGACCCAAAGCGGTGCCTCCCGCTACCAACATAAGGGATGGCCACGGACGGCCACATGATCTCAGCAAGGAGTCTAAACGACCCAAACCATAAACCCACAATCCTGAAGCCCTCCCCCCATGCAAAAGAAAACAGGGCCGGCCTGCTGATCCCTCACGCGGACCAGTGAAGTGATCAAGTCGATTTCGCGCTGCTTTGCCTCCACTGCGAGGGCTTAGGGCTGCGCGATCAGATTCCTTCGAAACTTATAACCCTCGGGAACGACATCCGGCCTACACGAAGCTCTGTGCCTATGCCGACACTTGAGGTTTTCTCACTCTGCAGCCGTCTCCAAAAACCCACCTCCAGGGCCAGGCGGTGCTCCTCCTCCCTCATCTTCAGCTGGGCCGCTGCGAAGCCCTGGGCCCAAAACACGGCACTGTGACAGTCAGGATGTGAACGGAGAGTGTAAGGCTTGCAGGTTGGCGTTTGTGAGTCTTATGTTCAATACTGCTAAATTTTGATAGCTGACAGTCTAAGCCCCACCCCTGAAGCAAAAACCTCAACTGCCCTTAAGCCAGGCCACACCAACCCTCTCGGCGAGACTCTCACCCGTGGATCCACCTCGTCGCCACGGCCCGACTGCAGCATCTGCACAGCCTGGCAGGGCAGCCGCGAACAGAGCTCGCAGTACCGCGGGAGTACCAGGCGCAGGAGTGAAGTTTTGGGGCCTGGAACGATGTGTTGCAGTGATGCCGGTCGGCTCTGGGGTGGCTTGTTGATTCAGCAAAGCATTCGCTCTGGACACACGCTTTGCGCCTGAATGGGCTTTCGACTCAGAACTGCCGTAGACCCGGCTCCGCAAGACCCCACCCCGCGGTCCCCCAACCTGCCGCAGGCGGAAGTTCTCTGCCTTCGCTTGGAGGCGTGCGCGATTCTGGTGGTGGCTGTTGATATTGCCAGGTGTGGCTCTGACCCGGCTCGCTGCCAAGTCTGTGTTGCCTGTCAGCATGACGATGCTATCGAAGTCACTTCCCTTCGTGCCTCCATCTGCTTGACCGCGGCCTCGTGCTGATCCTTCAAAGTCAGAAAACATCCGAAACTGCAGTGGACATGCCATTGAGGGTCTCTCGAACCCTACCGGAATCCGAAATAGCAGTCAGGTCCCGCTGAGTGTTCAACAGGTTTTCGTACTCCAAGGTGGCACCTGGTTGGCTGCAGGATCACAAAAAAATGATATATACTTTAATGTTTAACAAACTTGAAGTTTGCGGGAATGCTGAGCCGGATAATCAAAGCGAAAGCTGGCCAACTTGCAACCAACCCCATCACTGCCCGACTTCGATTATGAGTTGCCCACTCCACAACTGCGCGTTCGCATAGTCCACGGGGACCACCTTCCAAGCAATGCAGGCAGCTCCGAAGCCAACTTACAGTCCGAGCGCAAAAGCCCAAAGATGCGTCCAGGTCGCGGATTCGGCGGAGGGCGTGGAGCAGCTCTCGGCCTGGCTTGAGAAGTGTGAAAGGCAAGAAACCTCTGAACAGGAGGCCCATCCCTTGGCTCTCGGACAAAAGCAACTTCCGAGCATCACAGGACCTCTCCAGATCATCAAAGCTTTCTCCTTCAGGGGCTTTGAGCTCGGGCGGACCTGGCTCCAGAACTGCCCAGGTGGGCCTGGCGGCAAGGGGAGGGTGCCTTTCTTGGTGGCTGAGCCCTCCCGGTTCAGAGCCAAGGGCTTAGGTTGCAGCGTCGGGACAGTCGCCTTTTCAACTCTGTGTTGCCAAAGGGCTCGACTTCGCGGGGATCCGAAGCTAAGCAGCTAGGGGTGCTCTGGCATCTGGCATCCAGTCCGGTTTCGAGCACTTCGTACCACGGCTCACGAAGAGCTTCCGGGGAGGGAGCAAGTCTCCAGGGCGCAAGGTTCGTTCCGCGAAGGCTGGCTTCAGGAGGATGTAGAAGCCAACCGTGGGCGCGATGTAGCCGTAGGCTTGTTACGGGGCTGCCCGCGTAGCTGGCTTCGACAACAACTTCGGCAGTTCAGATGCTCCTTCGCAAGCTTTCCGGATCTAGGAGCTGCTCATATTGCTCATACACGCTCAGCTCGTTCAATGCAGATTGCGGTTCTTGTTCGGGACCATCTTCGAAGGAGACCAACGCAGAACCGCTCTGGCCTTCTGCTGCCTCGGCTGGCGTAGAGTGCTCTGATCGGTTGCCACTTCCCGGCGTCTCCTTGGGCTCCGAGTCGCATCGCTCGCATCGCTGCTCCACCGAAGGGGGCGCTGGGTCCGACCGCGGTGTGGAACGCGGCGTGCCCGTGCTCGGCAGCTGTTGCTTGACAACGGCGACCTCGTCTTTACTTTTCTCCAGGTCCGGCAAACTGATACCAAACTCAGACTTCTCCACGAAAGCCTTCCATGCACGCATATGATCCCTGTCCATTTTCCGGTTCGAGATGGCTCCGACCTCAGCTTCGGGCTAAAGCATTGAACTGGGAGGCCTCTTTCAGGCCGACCTTTGCAGCCCAAACCCTGCACAAAATAAGGATGCCATGTTGCCTTGATGACCTTCTCGTCGTGACCACGAAACGCGCGGATTTTCCAGTCGTACTCGCGCGTCTTCGTCGGCCGCCGCTCCTGCAAGCTAGCTGGGTGGAGAAAAAATGTTGCCTGGTCGTGCTGCTTTTGCATGTCGACTTCTTCTACTCAGCTATCCTATAAAGAACTCCTGTTGTTCAGCATAGGATTAGCAAGCGCATCAAGCACACTGCTGACGTTGCTCCTAATGGGCTATGAGAGCGAGCAGGCTGCCTTGATATTTCTCGCGAGTAGCTGTCGAAGTTGCTTCAGTGTTCCTCCTGGCTCCCTCTTGCACTTCACCAGCCTCTGAAGGAACCTGAGGGACATGTCCCCATCTTGCAAATCTCTGAAAAAGTTTGCGTTCATCACATGCTTTCATTCCACAAGAAACTGCTTGGAGGTATTGCGGGTCCTTCTTCAGCACATATGTAGCCGAGGTCTCAATTTCCAGGATCTGATCCACAATCCGTAAGCCGTCAAGAAGTGGGTAGGTTATGTAGGCAATAGGCAAGGCAGGTACGCACATCAAACACAATCACTGAGTGAGCAAGAAAGAGAAACGAAAATTACGAACAGAAGCCATAAAGAAGGGCAATATGAAGAGTGCATGCCTGGGCAGCAGCCCAACATCCCTCGGTGGCCCGAACCAGGACGAAGGCACCCTTGACTTTTAAGTCCTCGCAGTGCTGGGAGCCCGGTGTGCTTGGAATTTCGTGTACCTTGTACTTTCATTGTTTACGTCGCATTACTATACACTCTCAGTGATAGTTCACATTGTTTAAAGCGCCAACCCAAGACTGTTCGTACTTTTGAAGCTGGGGACATGCCGTCCCTGTCACAATTCACCATGAACACACCTCTTGCAAGTCTTGCATGCCATCTGAGATTCACAGTACGCTCACAGTACGCGTGCCGGCGACAAGCCATCCGCGAGACAGCTCATATCTTTCACACCGGAGGAGAGCAATCCCGCGGAGAAAGAGAAAGACAGAGAGAGAGACATACATATATATATATATATATTTCACAGTGCAAGCACTTTTACGCCGGAGGAGCTGGAAAGGATCCGGTTGGCGCACAGGAAGCTAAAACCATTGAAGCGCTCATTGGCGCTATAATGTAAAGCGCCTAAATCTGGCCCGTAGGCCCCTCTCCCGTGGGAGGATCCCCCGCGGGCGCAACACAGCGCGGTGGTGGGGAGGTGGAGGCGAGCCCAAAAGCTTCAACCCAAAAAGTGCGAATGTGAAAAGCACGTGCTACGCTACTCTCCGATGCGCTAGGCACTGGGGGTATTCACAGTGCAAGCAATTTTACGCCGGAGGAGCTGGAAAGGATCCGGTTGGCGCACAGGAAGCTAAAACCATTGAAGCGTTCATTGGCGCTATAATGTAAAGCGCCTAAATCTGGCCCGTAGGCCCCTCTCCCGTGGGAGGATCCCCCGCGGGCGCAACACAGCGCCAACCACCCACGCCAACTGTCCCACTTAGGAACAGCACCCTGGCACAGCCACTCGCCACAGAGAAGCCAAAGAACGTTGCAGGGTGGCCGCGGGCGGGGGAAGGCGAAGTTGCACCAGGGTGGCCCTGGCATCATCGATGTAGACCCGCGCGGTCTGGGAGTCTTTCCATCGGCCTTGGACCATAGTGCGGCCCAGGCTTTGCGTTCTTTGGTAAAACTCCGTGGCACCTCCCCGTCGCAAAGAGTAGGGGAGAAAGTCGGCCGGCACCAGGCCGATGGCACGGACCAGGCATGAAAATTCATGCCGAAAAGAGGCCACGGAGTGCTCATACAAAAGATTTCTCGGGCGTACCCGGTCGAAAAGAAAACTGAGCACCGCCACGAGGGACGGCTCTTTGAGCGAAAGAGATTGTTGCAGACCTCGAGAGGTTTTCGAATTTAAAATAGCAATGACAATGGTGCCATCTTCCGGGAAAAGGCGAACGTGGCCGATCCTCAAAGAAAGCAGCTCCATAGTTCGCAAGAAGAAGGCAAAGCCCAAAAGGATGGTGATAGAAAGGTCGGGCCTTCCTATTCGAAAGGCCGCTGCTGCCATGGCACGTGCCCCCAACCACGTCATAGGGTTGGTCCTGCGGGGCATGTGCCAATCCCCTGACCGATTCGGTGTTTAGGTGAGATAATAAGTTGTCACTTCGCACAAACAAGTGTGTGCTACACGACAACGAGAATCTCACACAAGAAAGCCATAAATCCCTGGCAGAGGCGGAGCTGTTTTCCACCTGCTTCCGCTTCGGTGGCGTTATGTCTGCGCTTCGATCTTACAGATCGAAGTATTCGATCGTACAGATCGGTGTGGATCTTCCGTACAGGAAGTATCGAAGTTCCTTCGGCTGGGAGGACCGACTGGTTCCCAACGATGGTGGTCGCGTCCTCCCGTCGCAGGCGAACGCCACTCGAAAAGTACATTAACGCAAAATCGAGATCAAAAGATCGTGCAATCTGTGAATTTCGGGTATGTCGGAAAAGCCCGTAGACGAAGCAAAGTGAATGTCTCCTATGATCTTCGCAGCCCTACAAGTCAATGCACTAAGAGGCAAGTCCAGTTTGGTCCAGGACTCACACTCTGGGACGTGCTCGAACCGGCTGATTCCGTCGGAGATGTTGGCCTTGGTGGGTACTCGTTCGAGTCGATGAGCAAGGCTTCGTCGATTATGCCAAGTCCAATGCGCCGCAATGAGGCAGTTGAGAGGCTGATGTTTTCCGACGCCCTTGAGCAGGGCATGTCTGGAAGCCTCGTTGTCGCAGCATTGGACGTAGAAGTGATCGAGCCATGGTTCGAAGATCAACGGTGCCAAGATCGCAACCCATGCTTCGAGGAAGTAGATGAATGCTTGATCGGAGGAAAACTGTCGTACGAGTAAGGTAGGGAGTCGACCTTGGAAGTAGGCCGCGGTCTGCACGTCACCGTGGTGGAAGCAGACCGCCGCCCATCCGCTCTCGATGTCGGATGTTGCTTTCGATTCCCAATTCGGGATGTCGGTGTCCCCCGGCCTGTAGATGGTCGAGCCGATCCGGAAGTAGGCATCCGTGTAAATGACGCTGTAGTTAGGTCGAGTCGGTGTGCGTGGTATCGTCATCGGTCGGCAATGTTATACGATGTCCTTGAGGGCAAGTAAGGATGATCGAGTGGGTTTGTCCAGTGAGTGTGAATGAGAGTGGGCTCGGGCACACAGTGCTTTCAGAGCTGCCCGGCCCACTTTCCCGAAGAGTCGTCCGGTGAGGAAGTTGCACTTCCCGGCCATTTTCCTGGCTTGTTCGGGGGACAGCGAGGAGGTAGTCAGGTGCAAGTCAATCTGTTTGCACATGTTCGTGACTCGTTTCGGGCAAGGAGTAAGTTTAAGCACCAGGTCGTTGTTGTCGGAGGAGATGATGACGCCTTGAATGCGATGTGCTGTCTGAGGTGGTTGTCGTTTACTGGGTTTCATCGAGATCTGTAGGCATCCATTGTACTCTTCGAATGATTCGAAGCTGCCTTTGGCCAAGTCGGAGTCTTCCATAGAGCCGTAGTCGTCGACGTAGTGCATCGCCGGAGAAAGGATCATGGTGCGACTGCAGGCGACCAAGATGTCGCCGAAACGGTTGTAGGACCAAACACTTGCGGCAGAACCGAAGAGGAGGACGTTGTGGCTCCATAAGGTCGGGCCATCTGGAGTCAACAACATGACGTAAGCTTCTCGAGAATCTCGAAGTGGTAGTTGTCGGTATGCTCCGTCGTGGTCGTGTCCCCAAACAGAGAGCTGAGGTGATCGTGTGATTGTCGCGAGTCCCAGGGAAATGAAGTGATCGGGTGTGTGGTGGTAGGGTTGGTCGTGCATCGTGCACGTCGCGTTGCGTCCGCTCCGACGCTAGTCTTCCCCGCGTCTGACCTTATTGCTGCCGTCGCTGCCGGTCTGTTCGATGCTGAAGGCCATGGCGATGTACGGGTCGGAGTGAGGCAGAGGTAGAAGGGTACGGTGTCGTCCTTTGTGAGGTGCTGTCGCATCTCGAGGCCACCAATCCGGAGCTTGAAACGGTCCATTCATCCTGCCCATATCGACTTCTGCCAAGATCTCGTCCAGCATGAGTTCCCAGTGGCCATCGACGGAGTTCTGGTTGATCTTGTCTGTGATATACTGTCGATTTCTTTCGCTGAACTCGTCGATGGGAGTCGGTTCGAGGTACTTCTGGTCTTGTCGTACATGCCAATTGATGCCGGGAGTCAACTTCCCCATGAGGGGAAAACCTTCGGAGAGCTCTCGGTAGATCAACTCGGTTTGTGGGTATTGTATCATCCGGAGTAAGTGGATCAGTACAGGTATTTGTGTAACGGAGTCCTTATGGCGATAGGCTCGCTGTACATGTTCTGGAAGAGTGTTGAACCAGGCCATGGTGTGTTCTTCCATGTCGTCGACTAGGTCCCTGATGTCCTCGATGACTGCCTTCTGGAACTCCATAAGCGGGTGAAACACGTGTCGGTGTTGTAGGCACCATTCCAACGTGGGGTCGAGTGTCTTCGGTGACAAATGTGTTTCCCTGTGCAAGGCCCAGTCGAGGTGTTCAGTCCAGGAGAATTGTGGCATGTAGTCGTGGTTCGGGGATCGGGGAGGAGGGCCGAATGGTACCTTATGGTGAAGCCATAAGGAAGTGATCTGTTGCAATGGAGAAAGTCGTGGTGTGCCGGGTATGGAAGCATCGACCGTTCCCAGCAGGAGCAGGAAGATAACCCAAATCGCCGTGGGAAGATGCCAAGCATTGCCCAGTGCCGTACAGCGTTTTGTTTCGTCGCCAGTTCCGAGATCCGCGGTGTAGTCTGGAGGTAGTCCTTGTAGTTGTTCGCGTAACGATGCTGGGGCTGTCATCCAAGAGCCATCGGGAAGCGTCACGAGGAACTGGTTCTCGTACTGCCACACCGGGTACCGTCGATTGTCCTGTTCCCATTTTTGCCACGCGTCCTGTGACGTGGTGCGGTCGCGGAGTTGCTTGGGAGGGTCTCGTCCCGAAGTAGCTGTCGTGTAGTCAAACAGTGAAAAAGTTTCTTGTCGTTGTGAAGACAAGGTGGCAAGGAGTAACCTCGTGCTGAGATTTGTGGTTGTAGATCGGGGCCCATCGGGTTGTGTAATCGGTGCCATTCTCCGTCGAGTCGCCAATCCAGGGACCATGGCGTAAGCCTTGGTAATCTTTCTTCGATGATGTTCCAAGGGATCGACGTCCACCAGAGTCGTTTGCGGTGCATGATTCCGGAGTCTGCGGCATCGATGACAACGGGATCCATACTCATCGGTGATGTGAGTTCCACGACATTATCGCGTACGTCCGGGTGGGGTACCACATTCTCGAAAACAGTCTCGATCGGGACGCCGGTGAAGTGTTGCCGGAGTTGATGTTCGATGCCAACCATATGTCTGAACAACCAACCTGACTTGCCTTCGGAGCCCTTGGGCTGACGTGCTCGCAGAACCTATCGAGCAATGTACCGTGGGGTCCCATGCGAGTCATCGAGGTACCCGTCGCCGAGATAACCGACCTGAAGATGTCGATGGTCTGGTGATGGTCCAACGGTTGTCCATCGGTGCCCGGGAAGAGTGGACCGTCTTTCGGGCATCCCAAGGATCGTAGAAGATCGAGATGTCGTTGTAATGCATGGAAAGGGCAAAGTCGAGGTGAGGTAGTACAGCAGCAC